TGCAAGTAGATAAATAGGTACCGCTTTATAGCGGGAAGGTAAACGGCGTTTCCGTGTGCTACTCTGGCTTGCCAGTGCAGCTTCGTCACGCTGGCCACGTGACCCGGAAGTGTCTGCGGACAGCGCTGGCTCCCGGCCTCTAGAGTGAGATGGGCGCACAACCCTAGAGTCTGGCAAGACTGGCCCGTACAGGCAGGGGTACCTTTACCTTTTTATTAATATAACCCAAAGCAACACCGGCGATTTTTGCCCTGGCAATGCAGGTACACATTTAAATTTAGCGATTCGTGATGGCAACAAATGTTTGACAAGCACCGTATTTTTTGCTCTATAAGACGCACCAGACCACAAGACGCACCTAGTTTTTGGAGGAGGAAAACAAGAATCCCAGAAGCCAGATCAGCAAGAGGGATCGCTGCGCAGCAATCCCTCTTGCTGTTCTGGCTTCTGGGATAGCTGCGCAGCCTGCATTCTCTGCATAAGACGCACACACATTTCCCCTTACTTTTTAGGAGGGGGAAAGTGTGTCTTACAGAGCGAAAAATACGGTACTTTTAATGAATATGGATTGGATGCATGCATGCATTTTGCCAGTCGTTTATATCCAATTTAAGCCAGTCTGAGGTCGAAGAGCACTCTCACCTATTCAGTGCCCAAGCATTAAGAAAACTCCTGGCAGGCCCCTAGTAGCCTCCAATTAAGTGAAGAGATTACTATCTCACCTGTGTAGACAGAAAGCCCCTGGGGGAGATATGTTCTCTCCCCCAGCCCCCAGTGTACCTGTAACTGTCTTGCTTTGCATGTAGGGTTTGTGTTTTTGCCCCTTCTTTCCTGCATGCCAAATGGTATTTTTGTTCTGATTAAGTTTCATTGTGGTTTATCTTCTGAGTTGGGTAGAATTTTAATCTTAATGCTAAAATGGCACCATACTCGGTATTTGTCATTCCTTTCAAGATATTTATCATCTGTAAATTTGATGACTGTGTTCCCTTAGGTCAGTAATGTTGAACAGCCAGGGAAAATATCCCTTGTTAAGATGTTGGAGGCAACAGCAGTTGAATACTGATTGTTTAAATAAGTCTTCAAAGTCTTAGGCTAACAGTATTTTCTAATGCATGTCTTATTACAACATTTTAAAACTTTAGTATGCCTAATAAAGGACCCCTGACCACTAGGTCCAGTCGTGGCCAACTCTGGGGTTGCGGTGCTCATCTCGCTTTACTGGCCGAGGGAGCCGGCGTACAGCTTCCGGGTCATGTGGCCAGCATGACCAAGCTGCTTCTGGCGAACCAGAGCAGCGCACGGAAACGCCGTTTACCTTCCCGCCGGAGCGGTATCTATTTATCTACTTGCACTTAGATGTGCTTTCAAATTGCTAGGTTGGCAGGAGCAGGGACTGAGCAACAGGACCTCACCCTGTTACGGGGATACAAACCGCTGACCTTCTGATCGGCAAGTCCTAGGCTCTTTGCTTTAACCCACAGCGCCACCCCCGTAGTTTGCCTAACCATGCTCTAAACAGTGTTGCATAAATGCTAAGATGGTTGCTACTTTTCATTTTTTTTTAACCCTTATTCCTAGTTTCTTGTCATCCCGACCAGTTTCCTCCTTCAGTTGGTGTAGTGCAGCTTAATGTCTCTTCTCCAACTCCAGCTTAGAAGTATCTTGGAATGCAGGATACTTTTTCAACAGGGTGACGTAACCTTAAACTCCAGGGCAAGAGGGGTTTAAAAAAGCTTCTTTGCTGATGTAAGCCCATGCCACATCCAGATGGGAGAATTTGTATACCCTGAGAAGACATTGTTTATTAGCTAAACTGTTTACCTGTCATCCATTCCTGTAAAGCTCTTTTGGCAGAGGAATGACAAACCAAATTTTTTGTTGGTGCTTAATGTCTAGAGAGATTATTGCTAAGCCCTTGCTCTTTCTTCCTATCTCTTAGTCTGTGAGCGATGTGGTGTGGCAACGCAAACCTTTTTTAATTTATTGATGTCCCAGTTCTTCTGAGTGTTCAAACACTGAGCGGATGCTTGAAAGTCCAATTGTTAGTTCAGATAAAGTTTTCTTTAGCACTTTATCAAAGCGATTCACACACATGTATGCATCTATGTATTCAAAAAGTATCAGTACTTCTTTGGGAGCAATGTGCCTGATCAGGCAGATGGCATCCTTGAAAAAGCAAGGATACCAGTAAAGAATTAATGTAATTAGTCCTTCCAGTAAGCTCTAGAAGATAAATCCCTTTTAACCTCTGTTATAAGAACATGTGCTGTGTCAAAGCCTTGGGTTATTAGTCTTTCAAAACGAGCTCCTACATCTGCTGTGGCATAGAGCAAAAGTAATTCAGTTAATTAGTAAATATATGATGTCATAGTCCTCACAATAAAGCCATTTTTGGTTTCCAGTTTTTCCGACAGACCTGGTTCTGACCTGGTTTCTGCACATAGCAGAAGGAGATAGTAAGTAGACTGCAGGCCCTGCTAGGAGAAAAGTAGCTTAACAGGGAGACATTTTAAGCATTTCTCTCTCTGATGAGATAGTCATTTCAGACAGTCTCTTTTCATGTTTATGACCATTCAGAAATGTAGTCTTTTATTCATTCCAGCTCATTCCACAGGGTTTCTTCCACCTCATTCTGCTGCATGTATATATCTAGCTTCTGTTATTATCGCCCAGTCAAGTGGTCAGTGTTGGCTTCCACTTTGGGGCAATGGGAAGAGCTCTTTTTAATAATAGTAATAATAATTTTATTAAGTTTTCAGCTTTACATTTCAAAATAAACATTTTACAAACTTGAAAGTATCCAATGACTTTCCTTCTTCTCCTTCCATGGTTCATTTTACATATCATACATTCCTGAATATTTTACTATAACCATACAAATCAGTTTTCCACTTTAGCACCAACCACAAATTATTTATTCTGTTGAATTTATCTTAGTGCTGCCAGTGTTTTCAGTTGCACACTGTCTCCCAGCTGTATAGAGTCTCCCAGACCCTATACCAATTCTTCCTAAGAATGCGGTTCATGAAACTTTTATAGATTTTAGCCTTCCCATACCAAAGACATGCATGCCAGCCGATTTTTAAATTATGACCTTCTAAATCTAAAATGTCTGCATTGTCCAATACAATCCATTCTTTTAACCAACACAAACAAGCTGCCTCATAATGCAATTGCAAATCTGGCCGCCTCTTTCTTTTGTATCTATCAGAATTTTATATTTGATTCTTGGCTTTTTCCCCTGCCAGATGAATTTAGAAATATATTTTTTTCCATTCCTTGAAGCAGTTTGAATTATTTACAATCGGGATTGATTGGAATAAAAACAGTATTTTAGGGAGTATATTCATTTAAATGGCTGAAATTCTACCTAACAGGGAGAGTTTCATTCTCCCCTCCAACTCTTTCTTAACCTTTTCCCACAATTTAATATAATTAATTTCAAATAGGTTGAGCTTTCTTACTGTCAGCCAAATTCCCAAATACTTAACTTTTTTGCCTATTTTTAAACCAGACATCCTTTCTAAAAAAAAATTTGACTGCTCATCCATGTATTTAACCAACGTTTTGTTTTAATCTGAGTTTATTTTGAAACCCACCACTTCTCCAAACCTTTTAATTTCTTCTAATGCTTTGGGAACTTTCTCCAAACGTTGTTGCAGCCCCCACAACACATCAGTCAATGCCCTTAATTTATAGACTCTGTGTCCCACCTCAATACCTTTAATTTCCCAATTTCTCCTTATATTCTGAAGCAGTATTTCTAATGTTATAATAAACAACAGTGGTGATACGGAACAGCCTTGTCTCGTTGCTTTTTCTATTTGGCATTTGTCTGAAAGAATACTGTTTACTAATATATTTGCAGATTGATCGGTATAGATTGCTTTAATTGCTGCTAGGAAAGAATTACCTATTTCCATTTTCTCTAAAACCTTAATCATAAATGACCATGAAATATTGTCAAAAGCTTTCTCCACATCTAGGAAGATTAATGTAGCCTGTTTTTTCATTTTTTTACTTCCAGGTACTCTATTAAATTGATTATGTTTCTTATATTGTCTTTCATTTGTTGGCCTGGTAAAAATCCACACTGGTCTCTGTGGACTGACTCAGTCAGTGTCCTTTTCAATCTATCAGCCAAGATTGTAGCAAATAGTTTGTAGTCACAATTCAGTAATGAAATAGGTCTATAATTTTTTGTCTTTGTTAAGTCACTGTCTTGTTTGGGGGTCAATTCTGTTCATTGTGTCCTTAAGTGGTTCTATAAGTGCTTCCTAAAACTTTTTATAATAAATTGCAGTAAGTCCATCTGGCCCTGGTGCTTTTTCCATCTTCATTCGGTTTATTGCCATTTGCAATTCCAATATCTATATGGGTGCATTCAAAATTTGCCAAATTTTCTTAGATACTCAGGATATATTACAATTACCTTAATAAGAGTCCATTTTCTTAAAGTCCTCCTTCTCACAGTGATATGATGAAGTATATTAAAAAAATGCTTTTCTTATCTCTTTTGGGCTAGTCAAATGCTTATCCTCATCTACAATATTATTTATGGTCCTAGTCTTCCTTTCTTTTTTGAGTTGCCATGCTAATAGTTAACCCAGTTTATTAGCAAATTCAAAAAAATTCTGTTTCATCAATTTGCTGTATTTTTCACTCCATAAGACGCCCCTACAGTCCACTCTAGCACTTCATTTTCTGCTGTAAATAGGGAGTTTCTCAAAAGACCTCCCAAATTTCGGCAAAGTCAAACTGATAAAGGCTGGGTAATATGTCCCATAAAATGCTTAGCTTTGACCTCTAAACATTTTAGCAAAACTTATTTCCCTATGTCTCCAAGTGTAAAACTGCATATGTAAACAGAGACTCTTGTATTTCATCAATAACCACCAATGATATTTGATCAGCATATTTTGTTTGAATGGTTTTTAAATTTACAAAAATCTTGAGTTTATACTCTAAAATTTGGAAGTGTTCTTGCTTTTTTTCAGATCTTATCAAAAAACTAGCACAGCAGTCGTTTGGCAAAAACCCTGGTGATTATCAAAAGGTAACTCTTTCACGTGTATTTATTATGGTTTGCATGTGACTGTGTACCTGTATTTGTGGAGCTGATTTTTTAAACAACAACAGCAACAGAGCACAGTATGTTAACTTTGCCACATCTGCTTCTTGCTTATCTTTTAAATAGTAAGTTTCCAGATGCAAGTGTGTCAAAACTGCATGATAAGGTTTTCACAAATGTTTCATTTTGTTTAGCTTCTGCATCAAATATTTTCCAAGAAGATTTTGGGGGATATTTTTGATCAGTGTAAATAGAAACTCTTGCTTCCTTTGCAGAGGGTTTTCTGTGACATTTCATCTGAACGGCTGATTAAGATACTGATGAGTAAAGATTTTTAGGCAAACCGAAATATATGAACACGTTAGTATTTCCCTTCGTGGCGTAGATTTTATTTATGTAGCCCATGTCTTCCAGTTCTGGAGACCGGATATTAAGCATCTGATATTGGTCCATATCCTGTTCCCCATTGCATTATCAGCTCCAGAAGACACACACTACACACTGCACTCCCCATTTTAAAACAACTACTCCTTTTCAGGGAGCATCTTCCAAGTAGGGGGGAGGGATGTGTGCCATAGGCACAGGCAAAGATAGGATGAACATCACTGAATGGCTTTCAAACTGTATTTCTTGATATTATACATTCAGGAAGGGTAGATGACTGTCTTTGAAAGACAGCTTGCCCACTACTTCCAATCTTTCCCTGTGATTACTGGCTACTGGGTGTGTTCTCGAATTAATGCTCAGTTCATGAAGGGCGACACTGAGGAATGAAAGTGTTCCCTAAAGGTGGAAATCTTGAAAACCCACTGGCGTGAATTTATTTAAAAGATTAGTTGATTCTAACTTGGTGATTGGAATAAGTGCTGTGGGTTTATGCACCTCCTTCAGTTTCTGGTTTGTAGGCAGTCTTTAGCTAGCAAACCATTGTTTGCTCAATTTTGCCTTCGCAGCAAACTATGGTTATCTCACATGGCGGTAGGGAGGGGAGGTGCACACATAGGTGATTCTGATTGCTAAACCATGGTTTTTGATTGGCACAGTGACTTCTGAACTGAACCAGTCCTTTTACCTTTTCAAAGAGCATTTAAGTGCTTGTTTCGGGTGAAAAACTACCTGTAATTTTGGAAGCCCACAGCTGTGGATGTATTCACCCATTCTGACTAATCAGAACATAGTAATTATGACTGCAGAAAGGCATGGTCACAAGGAGTGGCAGCAGCTTGCAAACCTTTGAGGGCTTTTTTTTTTGTTATTTTGGAAAGAAGGCAACTCGAATTGCGTCATGCAAAACAAAGAGAGAAAATCACTTGATAAACTTAATAATGCTGGTTGGATCAATCACAGCATCATTCAGGTGTTTTTAACCATCAGTGTTGGAGTCAGTAAATCATGGGCTCCTTTTGAAAAGTTTTGTAGGTAGGAAATAGTAATAGTTGTGATTCCTTCAGGTTGCCGTATTTCAAAAAGTATAAACCAGGAGCTTCTTAAAAAACAAAAATGCAAAAAAAAGGTGAACTTTCAATTGACTTGCCAGGACAAAGCACCAGCTTTTGGAAATCCCCACTGGACGTCAATTCCGCCTTTGAAATCCCGGTAGTGTCCGGATGTATGGCAGATCTAGATTTCACCTTCTTTTGACAGTCTATCTCCTGATTGCTCAAATTGCATTGGGGTTTGCACAACTGGCCAGTAGCAAGCAGTGCAGTGGGACAGAGAGGCTTACCTGACCTCCAGGCAAATCAATTGCTGCTGCTTACCATGCAAGGTGGTGGGCAGGTTGACGCAGTACCAACATGCCATCAGGAACACCAGATTGGCCCTGCTGCTGTGTTTGCACCATGCTGACCACTGGCTTGCCACTTCCTCTCCCAGTAAGCAGCAGTGGCTTACCTGCTTGAAAGTCAAGTAAGAATCTCTGTCCCATTACAGTGTATGCTGCTGCAAATAGCTATAATATACTTGTCTCCTGTCTGGTTGTGCTTTGTGGAAAAGAAACCATTATTGGAAGTTTCCCCGAGCCCAGGCTTGATACAGACTTCAGAAAATTGTAAAAGCCTGCATTAAATGATAAGTGGGCTTGTGAAGTCATTGAATTCTCCCAAGCTTGGATAAACAAATAGAGGAGGAAAGTTTGTCTCTTTGCTCCTTTTTTCCTGATGCACTGGGTTTCAGTGCTGTGTGGTTTAAAACTCAAGGAATCATGGAAGAGCAACATCTCTCCTAGTGTCCAGGCTTCGTGCCCTGGTGCACTATTCCAGAGACAGAAGGGGACAAATCACCCTTTGTGCCTTCATCACTACCACCACGACTGGGAAGGGAAGGGGGAGATTTTCCCAAGCCAGACAATAGGGTCAAACACAAAAGATGTCCTTGATAAAGAGTGACTTTCTCAAAACATGTTGGGAACATCAAGACCTGTGCACATGTGCTCTCGTGTGTGTGTAGCATGCTGCTTGCACAGCTGAACATCACCCTCACTTCAAATTCTGACTCTTCCTCCTACTTAACACCTCTCCTCATGCAAGGTGATTCCTTCCCTGGTTTGAGGCAAACAGCACTTTGCTGCTCCATTTGTCCAGCTGCTTCGATTAAATACCACAGGGAACTCAATTCCCTAGATAAGGTTGTGCAGTTTTAAAGGTGGTAAACAACACATCTTATGTAACCGTGTTTATTTAGAAGCAAGTCCTGTTGAATTCAATGGGACTTACTCCCAGATAAATGGGGTTAGGATTGCAGACTTAAGTGTAACATTCTCCAGGGTGTAAAAATAAATAAATTCCACCACTTTTGTGATGGAAAACAGTAGTCCAAACAGTAATAGAAATGAGTTGTTTTGTAGTGTTCAAGTCAGAGGAATTGGGAAGAAAATGCCAGCTATTCTGCATCTGACCCTCTTTAACAGAACACAAAGTGCAAATTGAATACAATTAAGTAAAAGCCATGAAAATCCTAAACCATTTGATTTTGCAAAATTGGCAAGATGCCTCTGGAACTACACTGCATCATGGTTTTGTGTGTGAATACCTGATGTGCTAAACTGCTTACTGACCTTGTGCATTGTTTTTTTACTTTGATGGGCATCGTAAACATTATCTTTGGGTGCTTAATTTATTGCTCACCTGCATTCTTTTTATGCATGCTGCCTCCGCATCATATATACTTTCCATCTGCCTTGACTTCCACAGCCAGAAAATGTTGTCCTCACCCTTCAGGTAAAACCTCTTATTGTTTCCGATGCACACTTTGTTTGGAAAAAAATATATTCTCAACTAGAGTTGCCATATTTCAAAAAGTAAAATTCCTGACACCCGCAGGTGTTGAGCTTTTTCTAGGAGACCACCAAATTTTGTTGGGGGGGGGGACAAACCCAAATTGTTGAGCTTTTGGGGGGAAACCTACCCCCCATAGTGATTTTAAGCTTTTGGAACTGTTTCTGCTGCTTTTTCCATCGCGATGCCATACATCCTGGTTTTCCCAGACATTTCACCAATTCGGCAAAATTCCCCCCTGATGCCATTTTTAGATCTGAAAATTAGGACATGTCAGGAATTTTCCTGACGTATGGCAAGCCTATCTTAATTAACATGTAACCTCTCCTGATTATGGGTTCTAACATTTTAGGTGGAGTATTTTCAGAATTGTTAATTTGCTTAGTTGATATATTTTGTTGTGGTTTACGAAAGGAACCTAACATCACCATTTCCCGCTAACAAAAACCCTTAACTCTCCTTGTTACTGTAATTAGGTCACTGGTATAAATGGCCATGTGTTGCAGTTGTTTGCACTTAGAGCTATTTTCATTGAGGAAATGGGGGGATCTGAAGCAGATTCACTGGGAGTAGAACTGGAGCATGAGTAAATGTAGCTGGTGGGAAACTGGCTTGCAACCAGCCCTGGAGGAAGGTGTCCGACTGCTCTTCTCCCTCTGTGCTTTTAATAGGCGGGCACTCACAAATGTGTAATAGCAGGGGGAGAGAAGCCAAGTAATCTACAAAACAAAAACATTTTCCAAGTTGGTAAATTAAAGCGATTCACAGAATAGTCACAAGGACAATGCACTGCCCAGCTGGCATCAAAAATCAAGGAAGGGTCTTCAGAACATGCAGGTCTCCTGCTAGATCAAAGGTTTGTCTAGACCAGGGGTCAGCAAACTTTCCCTCAGACCTTGTGGGGGGCCGGACTATATTTTGAAAAATATATACTGTATGAACGAATTCCTATGCCCCACAAATAACCCAGAGGTGCATTTTAAACAAAAGCACACATTCTGCTCATGTAAAAACACCAGGCAGGCCCCACAAATAACCCAGAGATGCATTTTAAATAAAAGGACACATTCTACTCATGTAAAAACACGCTGATTCCTGGACTGTCCTTCGCCAGATTGAGAAGGCAATTGGACTGGATCCGGCCCCTGGGCCTTAGTTTGCCTACCCATTGTCTAGACCATAGCTGTCAACGTTTCCCTTCTTTAAAGGGAAATTCCCTTATTCCGAATAGGATTCCTCGCAAGAAAAGGGAAAAGTTGACAGCTATGGTCTAGACCAGCTTCAAGGTTTTCAGCTGTGACCAGCCAGATGCTTCCACAAAGTCTACAAGTAGCATATGAAGTCATTGGCTTTCCCCTGCTCTTTCCTGCCCAGAAACGGAATATCCTGAGTTTTGCTTCATTCAAGGAAAAATAGGTATATAAAAAGGAGAATTCAGGAAAAAGTATTCAGCAAAGTGTGGAAATATAGACTGTAAAGGGGCCCTTTAAAGTGAGTTCCAAAGCTTCCCTCTTCAGAGGTCAGATTGACGTGCTTCAGAAAGTTGCACAGGCAGTAAAACTAGGCTTAGTTAGATTGGTGAAAAGTCCTAAATTATTGGTATAGGAACTCAAGAGTGGCTTGTGAGAGCCATGTAGTGTGAGCTTGGAGCAACCAGCTCAGACCTCCTCACATGCTGAGCTTGTCAGGTAGACTGAATGTTGAAAAAATAAGCCTGATTGCCCATTTCCTCCCAAGGCCAGGGGAAGTGACCTCACTAAACAGGACAGCTTACTCTATGGTATGAGCTCCTTCATGCATTATTTAGACGTAAGCATGTTGGTTATACGAGGCTGGTTATCCCACAAATTGTATAGTGCTGTCATGGCTTACAGCAAACAGTGTCTAGCCCCTTTCATAAAGCTACTAAGACAGAGGTCACCATCACGTCTTCCACTTGCGAATTCCCCAAGCTAATTGCATTGTGTGAAGTTTATTCCCTTCTGACCTTAAGATGAGCTTCTTCTGTTTTTTTTTTAAAGATATTTATTAAAATTTTCAGAATGAAAAAAGAAAAATACAAAATAAAAGTAGTTAAAAACAACTCAATCTTTCCGTTACTTATCTTTCATTTGCTTGTTTCCCGGACCTCCTCACGCCTCCCTTTTTTGTATTCCAATTCAGTTTGTTAGTTCAGCAAATCCTTCCCCTCTTTGTTTATCCTAGTGTAACTTAATTTTTACTATTAAACTTTTCAACCCTTAAACAAAACCACAATTTATTTTTTAATTTGCTTGCTTAAAAGTCTATAAACTCTTCTCCATCCATCTTCCAGTGCGATTCTCCAGTCATTGCATTTAAGTTTTATCCCTTCTGTTGGGAAAGATGAGGCTTCTTCTGTGACCCCAAGTTTCTTCCCAGGCATTCTTATTTATGTGTGCAAGAAGTGCCACACCAGTGCTTGGCTTCAAGGCATCCAGCTACCTTTCCTCATGGTTGCATTTCTATTTGTAGGGATATTTCCATTCCTAGTGCTTAAACTGCAGTAGCTCCTTGAGTTCCTATTTCTGTCTCTTACTTGGAAATCCCTTCACGCACTGCTGAGCTGTACTAGTGTGGCTCTTGCTACCTCTACAGTTGCTTTCATGCTGTTTTAGGTTATTTCTAAAAGTGCTGATCTGGATCCTGTATTTACATACCACATAAGCAGTGTACCTCTAAAGGCAAGTAAATGCCAAAGAACAAGCCATGTGGGTGGATCCATTTACACCTGAACTGATGTGGAGGGAAACTGCAGAGGCAGCAACAACCATGCTGGCTTAGGTTTATGTTGAAGTACATTATTGCAATTGTGTGGAATGTCAGAAAACAGCCCAGAGTGGTTTCAGTGTGGAGTTCTGCTCTGCAGTGCTTTTCATTTCTGGAGCTAATTTACCCTTAACATTTTATTAATTAACTCCTCAATCACATGTGTCCATGTGAGGTTGCTTCAGAGGAAACAGGCTTGAAGGAGCAAGGGAATGTTCACAAGTATGAAATAAACCAGCCCTATGTCTTGCATTGGGACGTGGGTGGTGCTGTGGGTTAAACCACAGAGCCTAGGATTTGCCGATCAGAAGGTCGGTGGTTCGAATCCCTGTGATGGGGTAAGCTCCCATTGCTCTGTCCCAGCTCCTGCCAACCTAGCAGTTCAAAAGCACGTCAAAGTGCAAGTAGATAAATAGGTACCACTCCGGCAGGAAGGTAAACGGCGTTTCCATGCGCTGCTCTGACTAAGCCAGAAGCAGCTTAGTCATGCTGGCCACATGACGCCGGCTCCCTCGGCCAATAAAGCGAGCTGAGCGCCACAACCCCAGAGTTGGCCACAACTGGACCTAATGGTCAGAGGTCCCTTTACGTTTCCCTTTTTATGTCTTGCATTGGTCCTCATAACCTGGGGAGGGTTGCTGACTCGGATCGACAATAGTCAAGGATGGCACCGTAGTGTGTCTTGCTACAACTAGCGGAAACGGAATAAATTAGGCAAAATAAGAGAAGTTGTATTAACTTGAGTAGAATCGTAGGGTTGGAATGGACCCAAGCATCATCTAGTCCAACCCTCTGCGATGCAGGAATCTCACCTAAAGCACCCATGACAGATGGACATCCAACCTCTGTTTAAAAACTTGCAAAACTCAGGGGGCGTTTTTTAGTGCAGAAAGCACATAGTCTTGTATCAGTCAAGAAAGCCTTTAGGCATGACTCCCTTTGAGAACTGTTGGTTTAATGTAGGATTTTCCAGACTGTGTCCCTTTTTGCAGCGCTACAGTGTGCACTACAAGAACTCCTAACACAGGCAACTTTTCAAAGTGTATTTTAAGGGGGACGGGACACTTAGTGCAGCGGTGTCCTTCCTGGCCTCCAAATTAGAACTGCCAGCTTGCTTCTTTCTTGGACTAACAAATGTATTGTTCTTATCATTTTCCAGAACAATGGGAAGGATTCTTCTTTGCAACTCCAGGATATCCTAGTTAATAATTTTCTAGTACCCCATGTTCCAGTTTGTACAGTTGCAGCTCAAGGATGGGATGATGCTGCGGCTAGACTTTTCCTGCCCCTCTCCTCTGTAGTGTGGGCTGCATCCGGGAATGTGCATCATTCACCCCTTGGGATGATGTCAGTTCCTTTAGCTGAGAAAGCCGGATCAATACTGCACAGTGCCTCTCCAATTGGGCAAAAGTTGTACAGTGGTGCCCCGCAAGACGAATGCCTCACAAGACGGAAAACTCGCTAGACGAAAGAGTTTTCCGTTTTGGAGGTGCTTTGCAAAACGAATTTCCTATGGGCTTGCTTCGCAAGACGACAATGTCTTGCGAGTTCCTGCTGGGTTTTTTCCTCCCCCCCCTTTTTCTAAGCCGCTAAGCCGCTTATCAGCTGATCCGATCAGCAGATAAGCCGCTAAAGGCCGCTAATAGCGCTAATAGCGCTAATCCGCTAATCCGTCAATGGGCTTGCTTCGCAAGACGAAAAAACCGCTAGACGAAGAGAATCACAGAACGGATTCTTTTCGTCTTGCAAGGCACCACTGTACTTCCATCCAGCGTGCTGACTTAGTTAGTCAGCCCCTTTCATCGCACAATTCTTTTCCTCCAGCATGTAGTCTGAGTTCGGTTTTGAAACTATGTCTGTAATGTGAATCTCAGTTATAATATATCTGCTTTTGCTATTGTTTCTGTCCGCATTGCAGGCAGTTTACTATGAGATCGGTTTTATAGTCTCTGCTGCTCTGGGAGTGCTGTTTGTTCTGTTGCTGCCTCTGGTGGGGCTTTGCTTCTGCATGTGCCGTTGCTGTGAGAACTGTGGTGGGGAGATGCACCAAAGACAGAAGAAAAATGCAGACTGTCAGAGGGGCTGCTTTGCTACAGTACTTTTCGTTGCCGCTTTAATCATCAGGCAAGTATAGCCAAGCTGCTCACAGTGTGAATTTTGCTTTGCCATATAAGCAAGGTGGGTTAAGTCTGGTTTATTATTTATGGAGTTTTTATTGGGCTGGGAATAATGTGCGCAAGTTTAAGGGAGATAAAAGTCACTAATTAAAAGAGAGCCACTCTGTTTGATGCCCACAGGCTGACTGCATAACTATAAGATCTGGAGCCAAGCTACAGGAACAGCAGGCCCATTGGATGTGTTTAATTGTTAGAATGTACCACTTTGTACTAATGATAGTTGAGGATATAGAATATTGTTACAAAAGCCACCCCCCCCCACACACACACTCTCTGCCAGATTCCAGGGGGTTCCAGGCACTCACCCAGGGTCTGCGTTCCTTTGGAGAACTGAGACACGGCAGAGACTGTCATGCTTTAAGAAATATGGTTTACACCTTCAGTCTGCATGGAGGAAGTCCAGATCTTACAGCACGGTCATTTCAAAAGGAGCTTGTCTCCCACAGCAGTGAAGCCCTGGAGTCCAAGCCATCTTGGAGTCTAAGCCAGCCTTCAGCCAGCCTGCCCAAGATGGATCCCATTCTTTCTTCTTCCCGGAACACTTTACTGAAAGACTCCCTTTTCCTGTAATCTCACACCCAGTTACCCCGGCCCCATCAGTCTCCCCAGGCCAAAGTATTCCTCTCAGATGGCCCATCAACACCTTTTGTCATGTTAACAGATTTGCTCTTCAGAAGGCCAGCCAGGCTGGTTTGCAGGCCTGGGATTCCTTGTCTGACAGAGCTCTGGAGCTTGTACTTTCATCCATATCCCAATTAATCAAAATCCTACAGTTTATTAATTTCCAGGGTTTAGTGGGTTCCCCCTCAAATCTATCTTTTAATGCATTCCCACTCTGCAATAGCAAAACTAGCATTGCCAAGGAAAAGGTTCTAGGATAGCTAATGTTGTTTTTGTAGGATTTGAATGTGAGGAGACGGTAATTCAATCAGTCCCCCAGGTGAAGCCTACAGTGGTACAATACAGAAGAGAATAACATCATGTGAGACTGCTGACCATACAGCTTCTCTCTATGATTGATTATTGTTCTGGAACTGAGCGCGCAAGGCTTTTGCCATTTTTTTTTAATAAGAACTGCCTGTGCTAGCTTTTTCACTGCAAAATCAATGTATCATACCTGCATCAATTTTAATTTTGTATGTCATAGCTTTCTTGAACAAAAGGCTGCTTCCGTTTTCATTCTGAATGTATCCGTTTTGTTGCTGAGGATGGGCAATGCGAAACTTGATCCTGCTGTTTCCTTATGAAGCGGTTGGAACCCCTGGCCCCTTCATGACTAGACTGTACTCTCTAACGTAACAAAACGTGTTTCCCATTTTGGGCAACACAGCCTAGCTTACCAATATATAGCGCTTTATGGTTGATGGAGCTGACTCAGGATTCCAGAATTAAACCCTGGTTTGAACTTTCAGTCACCTTGAGTCATGTGGGCAGAAAGTAGATTGTGGTCCACAGGTGACCCACAGGACATATTATGTTGGTTCACCTAGCATCCTGTTCAGGAACCAAAGACAGCCTGTCTGTCTCTAACGGAAATGAGCATCTCTGCTCATTTTGTCTCTTAAACACAATTGATTCTCATTAACCTCTGTGAGCTACCTCTGTCCAGGGCTACAGTCGGGAACATTCCTAAAATGTCCTCTGTTCTTGTCCTTTTGTTCACCAGAGTTTTGGAAACAGATATCAAGGGTTATGCACGTATATGCACACAATCCTCAACATTTTGTCTAATTGTAGCTCTTTGTTTTCACCTAAAAGAAGCAAGTGGTTTCCATTATCTTGTATGGAAGAGAATAAAGGGTACATTTGTGGTTGCAAGGACCCATGGAAAGGGGGTCTTTCCAATTGTAGCCCCATAGTCTGCTGTCTTTGAGTGAGTAAGCACACATGTAGGAGCCTTTGGCTTCTGGTGGAAGAGAGACAGAACCGTTGAACATTAAGCAGGCTTATCTAAAATCTTTTGTTCCCCTTCCATGAGGGCAATTGTTGCCAGAAAAGAGGCTTCTGGGTATGTCTTTCCTTCTGAATCCTGCCCTTGTGCTGGTTGTGGGAATGTTCAGGATGTCAGGAGAGGATATATTATTTATTAATATCCTTCCTAACTTGCACTAGCAAGTTCCTTTATGGAGCAGAGTTACATTCCCCTTCTTACATGCACAGCAGATAGCTGGTTGCAGGCTCGTGTGAGCCTCTCACTATTACACAGTTCAATCTGTCTCAGATTGAATTGTACGTTCCTGGTAAATTCCCTTGAATCCCTCTTAAAAGAATAAAGACACCACAATCTTATTCAAAGTCAATAAAAGAAGTTTACTCACATCAGTTCACAGTTGGATTCCTGAAGGCAGACTTAGTTAGAAATATGTACATGTGGATCTACCTCATATGGGGGAATAATGCCAGTGCTTCTGCTAGCTGAGAACTAGCAGAGCAGTCCTAGGAAAAGCTGGTCAAACGAAGAAAGAAGTCAAAAAAAAGAGGGAAGTGTGCTGCGTGACGGGCCTTTTGTAACCTGGACAGGTAAGGTCACGCCCACTTTCTATCACATGCAAAAGGAAGGATGCTCCACCCAGGAGGAACAGGAAGTTTTGACTGGCTGGACCAAACATGTTTTCTCTAGCATTACAAGGAATGTTGTACTTGACTTCCTCTTATGGATCACATCCCACACGGATTTGGGGCAGAGGCAGGATTTCTGTCTCTCTCCACCCCCCACCCCCAGTAATTGGCACTTGGGTCGCCATACCAGAGTATGTGCGCCCACCACCTCTTTGCTGAACATGTACTGTATATGGAAACATTTTATATATTTAATGAAATCTTCTGCTTGTGCATGGGCCAGTTGGCTTCTCAAAGTGTGATGGGAAAGCAAGGTCTAGTCATCTCTTTATTAAGGAATGTTAAGCAAAAGTTTGCTTTTCATATCACCAAACATGAAGGAGAACTCAGTTTAATAGTCTTCATAAATGTGATCAGTGGGGTGACTGGTTTTCCTTGTTTTTGTAAAGTGTTTTTCCCACTCTGTCGGAGAGGCTCAAAATGAGAAATTATCAAAGTTTTGCAAACAGAAAACCTTCATGGTGCATTGAGCTACTGACCTTTTTGTAGTGTGAGCACAAAGACCGAAACAATCGCCTCCAAAGAACATAGTTGTTACTGTAATTCTAGCCATGTGAATTGGAAATACACTTTTCATCTGACTGTCCATTGTGAAATGTTTTCCTTTTTAGAGGCAGCCAAGAATAGATAATAACCCCCAGTACAGACTGTGCAGGCAGCGAAACTGGAAAGCATTGCTTACCATTGTAGGTGTCCAGTTCTGTGCCCAAGTCTCTGCCTTCTGCCAAATCATCTTGAGATAGTGGCATCCGCAGAGCACAGCCCCACATAAGAGTCTTTGCTGAATCTTACCAAAGTCTATCTATTGCACCATCATTTCCAACCGTTAGAAGCCCACAAGTGGGATAGGAGGCTACATGAAACACTGTGAGGCAGGTCTAAGCAGCTGATGCCACGCAAGCCAATTGGACAGCTTTAAAAAAATACAGTGGTGCCCCGCAAGACGAATGCCTCGCAAGACGAAAAACTCGCTAGACGAAAGGGTTTTCCGTTTTTGCGTTGCTTCGCTAGACAAATTTCCCTATGGGCTTGCTTCGCAAGACGAAAACGTCTTGTGCTTTTTTTAAAAAGCCGCTTGAAGAGGCGCAGTTGCGACGGACCGTGCTTCGCAAGACGAAAAACATCGCAAGACGAAAAGACTCGCGGAACGAATTCTTTTCGTCTTGCGAGGCACCACTGTAAAATCCTGGGCTAATCCGTGGGCTTTAGTTCATAGCAAGTTGTACCCTGTTAGATTCAAAGTACATATGAGAAGCTACAAAATCATGTCAAGGCTTTTTCCAGAGGTGACTTCTTTTTGCAACTCTAGATCAGAACGTAAGAGATGTCTTCATCCCCATCCTGCCAAGCTATATCAGAGAGAGGGATAAGCTGTTCATTTTCTTGTAACCCTTGACCTATGGACACAATTTCTCCACTCACCTGAAGATGGGAGGAATCGTCATGATTAAAAATAAATGGGTTGAGTTGGCCTAAGGGCACAGGCTTCTCTGCTATTCTGTACCTTGAGGGCTTACAAAGGAATTATTAAGCTGAATTTGTGGACCACTACAAGTCCATATTTTAAGTCCCTGTGTCCTTTAAAAAAAAAAGCTTACTTATTCCGGATAGCAAAACATTTCCCACTAATTTTGTTGCTGTTTATGTATAGCTCTCAAGCTTTCCATTTGAGCGAATGCTTTAGTGTGCCCAGATTGTGACAAAATACATCATGGAAAACAATTTTGCAAAATCTGGTTGACTATATCTGGATATGTGCATGTTGTGCCCATGTTGTGACAGATCCATTAAGAAGTGGCAGTTCATGTTGACTTAGCACAATGAGAGCTGTTACGAGAATCATGGCAACTTCCCAGTTGTCTTAACATCCTCTTTTAGTTTGCTAGTCTTTAGCCTATGCATTCTTGGGAACTGGAAATACACACATATGTCTGACAAGTTGAAGTTAAAACTATTCTGGTTAAATAATTGGCACGAATGTCCAGTTAACTCTGTCCCAGCTACTTCTCTGACACCACATAATGGTTAACAATGGATTGTGTCTTGGAAGTTTGAACTTGCATTTTTATGTTCTTCATCAGATATTGTTCTTTTTGTAGATGTTAATAGTTTTACTCTGATTTGAAACTAGAACTATTTGGCGACAGTAAAGTAAAATCTTCGCTTTCCCTCCCCTTCTACACATAGTATTGGTGTGCTTTTTGCTTATGCTGCTAACCAGCACCTCACAAGTCAAGTCAGAGGAGCAAGGAAGCTGGTGAACAGTAATTTCAAAGACCTGAGGATTTTCCTGAATGAGACACCTGGGGTAAAGTGATACTTTCTTCGTTATAGCAGTTAAGAAAGAAAGTGGGCACAGCAGTAATGCACATAGGAAAATTGCAGATTTCAGACGTTATATCAAACAGTGGCTTGTGCTCACAGTATGGTAGAGCCCAAGCCACCATGAGTCGGTTTGCAAGTAACACCAAGCCAAACAATTCCTTAGTGTGACTGTGCAAATGTATGGGCTCCCAGAAATGAACGTGTCTGGTTTTTCTCCCCCTCCTGGTTCGGCTGCTAGTGCTACTTTGTGAGCCAAGTCATGGTTTGGCTTAGTGTTCTCTCTGAACCTGGGTTCACAGTTTGTCTCGCACCAGGCAAGCTGTAAGCTCCCTATCCAAGAACAAACCTTATTTACAACTCGCAAAAGGGCCTGGGGGAATGTGTGGGTTGACTCCACCCTCCTGATGCTTCTGCACACACTGACAACACATGATTGGCTGAGGCAGAAAGGAGTACCACTTCGTTCCAACATGAGGATGGGAGCCTGACCAGTCCTTCACAGAATGAGGTCACCCTCCTTCAGACAGAGCTTGGGACCATTTCTGGTGTCCACAGCATCATCAAAGGGGTTGAGTTCACCTTGCACATTCCAGAGGAATCTTTGCCAGCAAATACCGGATGCAGAAATAAGATCAAGCTTTTATTTACTTTTCTAAAAGATTGCATATGCCCATGGCAACTGGAAAACCAATACACCATGTTTTGGTGTGGTGTACATATGTTGGACATAGCTGTCAACCGTCCCTTATTGGCGGGAAAAGCCCCTTATCCCAGCGCTCTGTCCCGCTGCTGTCCCTTATTGATGATGTCCCTTAAATTTCCCGGGTTTCAAAGGAAGCAGCTCCTCTCCCTCCCTGCCTGCCGGCCAGGGAGGAGGGAGGCTCCAACTGTGTTGCTTGGCTGCGTTGCTCACCCAATAAGGAGTCTAAGAACGACTGGGGGGTGGAGCTTGCATGCCTTGTGCTGATCAAATCGGCCGCGTTGCCTGGGGACTTGCCTTTGCTCAGCGCTTCCCAGCGGAGAGGTGACGTTGGTTTTCCTTGCTGCATCCCCTTTGCTGGGTTGCTGCGCTGTGGGAACCACTGCTTGAGGCTTCGTTTGGCTGCTGGCTGGGCTTTCTGCCTTTGGCTCGGAGGGCCTCAGAAGCTGAACATACCTGTGCTCCGAAAATCCCTTATTTTGGCTGCTGATCCCTTATTTTCGAGGCTGCTGGTCCCTTATTTTCAAATCTGTAAGTTGACAGCTATGATGTTGGATAGAACTATATTGTTAATTGAAGCTTACTGTATAAAGCAGTTATTCTTGGATGTGTTTTAGGTTGCAGAATTCATTTCCAATATCAGACTGGTTGTTGTGGAGGACAACCTTTTTATAGAAGCCAAACTTATAGTTGTGCTTGATTTCTTGCCGCCTCTTCAGGTGTTCAGAAAGCCACTCAACAGAATAATCAAGGCTGTCTAATTAGTACATACATTAGAGAACACCTGGTCCCAAAATGGAATAAACTGTAGAAAGGAGCTTGCTGCTGATATGTATTGGGGTGTTCTTCTATATGTATAAAAAGTAACATTTAAACTATTAATTATTTTATCTTGCAGCAAATTGACTATTTGGTGAGTCAGTATGACACTACCAAGAAGAAAGCACTTTCTGACCTTAATAGTAAGTATAATCAACAACATTTCATTGGAATACATAAAACTTTCCTTAGGGAAACCACTGTTCTCTCAATCTCAGCTCCCCTGCATGAAATTTGGAAACATTACAGCTGAAATACATCATATAAATTCTAAATACAAGTTATAATAACCAAGAAAATACTGAAGTATTAAAATAGCAGGTTTATGTGTTAACAGAACGAACCTAGGTTATTACCAAGATCTGAAACAAACTTGTGGTTGTAAGTGGATTATGTTAAACACCAAGAAAAATTATTTGGGTAATATCCAGCGAAGTTACCTGGAGTAAACCCATTGAAAACACATTGGACGTAAAGTTACTCGAGTCCATCAATTCCTGTCAGTCTATTCCACCTGCGACTAACATTGAATATAATGAAACAACATTAGCATTGCTTTGCTCCAGTCGTGCTCAGTTTCAGCTAGAAAAGTAAATTCTTATCTGCTTTTTAAAGAAGGGATTCTGTGTGTGTTCCTTAGGGAATTCTCTAGCACAGCATGAAAGTCATACCTGAGCTCTTGGAATGGAGCGTATGCATGGATATTTTTCATGCGAGATAACAAGCAGGAGAGAACCACTAGCTACTGTAATTTTTATCATTTATTAGAATTTAGAATGCAAAACCTTGCCATTTTATATGAGCATATTCAAGGTGACTTGCAAGCATTAAAAAAACCACCTATTAAAATAAACAACAATAAAACCGTTGGGATAAAAGCAGCAAAAACTGCTAAAAACTAGTAAAGAGATTTTTTAAACCATTAAAAGCACAGGGAAATCGGGTTAACTCTGACTGATGCCAGGTAAACATCTTTAGGGAGGGAGTTTGGGTTATATACCATGGACAAAAGCCTCATAGTTTGACCATTGCAGGATGAAACAGTGGTTCTCCAAATAAAGGCATTCTTCCCTAAAGTGGAGCATGCAGTTGCCGGAGGAGAAAAGAGATCTCTCCCAAATTTCAAGGTGGCAAAGACTTCAGGACAGGGAGGAGGCATCTGTCTTTATTCCTTTTGATCTTCATGATCAAACCTAAAAAATAGGGTGACCATGAGCAACTGAACTGCCATGCTTCAATAAACATGAGGTCTGTCCATACAGTTTCTCTTTAGAGCAAAGGCTCTTTTGGATATAAAACTAAAAGGAAAATTTGTCTTTGCAACCTACTATTGCTTGAAAGTCCTAATGATGGGAGTACTGGCAGTTGGCGTATTCTAGGTGGGTCATTTTAGCTTAGGAAGTCTCTTCAGAAAGAGGAGGAAGAAATGCTTTTCAATGATTTCTATCTCAAAAAGCATGAGGACGATACTTCTGTTGTTTAGTCGTTCAGTCGTGTCCAACTCTAGGGATGACTAGGGATGATGTGGGTGGAACCCTTAAGAGGGAGCACCATCATTCCTAGGAAATGAATTCTTTGTTCTCTCGCTGTGAGCATTAAAGTTTCTAACTGGTAAGAAGACTCCTTTTCCTTTGTTCTGCTTGTTGTTGTTTAGTCGTTTAGTCGTGTCCGACTCTTTGTGACCCCATGGACCAGAGCACGCCAGGCACTCCTGTCTTCCACTGCCTCCCGCAGTTTGGTCAAACTCATGCTGGTAGCTTCGAGAACACTGTCCAGCCATCTCATCCTCTGTCGCCCCCTTCTCCTTGTGCCCTCCATCTTTCCCAACATCAGGGTCTTTTCCAGGGAGTCTTCTCTTCTCATGAGGTGGCCAAAGTATTGGAGCCTCAGCTTCAGGATCTGTCCTTCCAGTGAGCATTCAGGGCTGATTTCCTTCAGAATGGAGAGGTTTGATCTTCTTGCAGTCCATGGGACTCTCAAGAGTCTCCTCCAACACCATAATTCAAAAGCATCCATTCTTCAGCGATCAGCCTTCTTTATGGTCCAGCTCTCACTTAGACGATACTAAGGCAACCGATACTCAACTGTTCTTCAGCTGCAAATTGTGTCATGGTTGCAAATAGCACTGCAACTTTTAAATCCAGTGCAATCAGATGACAGCACTCTTCCTGTTTCCAGTTTTTATTCTTGAATTTTTATGGGGGGAGGAATATAAAAGATACCAGCTCTATGCAGTGCAAAATGTGCTATTCCAGTCCACTAGCATTTAATCATCGCATGCCATGTTGGTGATGCCTGTGGCGATCACACAGGGTCCCCGGACATTTCACCATCTATTGATCCCTGTGCCACCACTTTATTTCTCGCTGCCACCACCCAGGCCCTACCTGGTACAATACTGAGTCCAGTCAGGGTTAAATTGGAACATAAACTTTTGTTTATTTATTGCAGTTTAACAAGCCTGTGGTTTCATAAACAGTATCAGTCAATAACATTCATGGGGTGCCTATCCAGACCTATAACTTCCTCTACCTGCTCTCACTCACTAAACCACCTCTCAGATTTTTACTTGTCTGCCTAGCCCCTAACTGTTCCTGACTCAGCCTATTTCACTACACTAACTCAACCTACCCACAGACTCTCTCCCAATTCACTTCCACTCCAACCAGCCTCCCAACGAACTCTTCCACGAACTCCCCCCAGAGCTGGTTTTATAGTCCCTCTGACTCCACCCCCCTGGGTCCTGATTGGGTAACCTGTTTAACTATTTCACCTCCAGCACTCTCATGTTAATGTCACAATGCCCAACTGTATCAAGCAGCCATTTAGATCGGATTATTTCTTCCTGTGTCCCTTTCTAACAGATGTTGGGCCGTTGCTTGGCAGAAGAGTCCAAGAGCAGCTGGCAAAGGAGGTGCGCCCGGCGCTCGATGGAGCCCTAACCATGGCAGGAGGTAAAGAGACCACTGTCATTGCCAGTCCACTTGTCCACTTCATAAGTTCTGATGGGAGCTTCTGCAATACGGTCGGCATCAACTCATTTCATGCTCCCGGGCTCCCAAGTTGGTTGAATGGCAGCTCCCATGCAGCTTGTACTACACGCACTTCGAAATATTTCTTTATGTGTTCGTAATGTAGTCCCTTTGGATTAAAAATCCACAAGGTGGTCATTTATTTATTTTAATAAATTAAACTTTTAGGAGTGTGTGGCTGCTTAACCTTGCCTTACCTTTTCCCCGAATGGGATTCTGGAGGTGTGACTGTCACATCATGGGTTAAACCAGGGGTAGGCAACCTAAGGCCAGGGGGCTGGATCCAGCCCAATCACCTTCTCAGTCCAGCCCACGGACGGTCCGGGAATCAGCGTGTTTTTACATGAGTAGAATGTGTGCTTTTATTTAAAATGCATCTCTGGGTTATTTGTGGAGCATAGAAATTTGTTCATCCCCCCCGCCCCAGAAAAATATAGTCTGGCCCACCACATGGTCTGAGGGACAGTGGACCGGCCCATGGCTGAAAAAGGTTGCTGACCCCTGGGTTAAACCCAGTGCTTTTTTTCCCTTAAAAATGTTTAGGGGTACAGTGGTACCTCTGGTTAAGATCTTAATTTGTTCCAGAGGTCCATTCTTAACCTGAAACTGTTCTTAACCTGAGATACCACTTTAGCTAATGGGGCCTCCCACCGTGCCGCAGCCATGCGATTTGTGTTCTTATCCTGAAGCAAAGTACTATTTCTGGGTTAGCAGAGTCTGTAACCTGAAGCGTTTGTAACCCGAGGTACCACTGTACTCTCATTTTGACTCAAGAAAACCACCATTTTATAGTTCAAATCTGGAAAAGTAAATACAGTACATGGACAAAAGTACAGAGATTCACAAAATGTTTAGGGGTACGCATACCCCTGCGTCCCCCAGAAAAAAAGCACTGGGTAAACAAACCGCTCTGAAACCTCTGGGTTTAGGGTGGTATATAAATTCAAATAACAATAAAACAATAATGGCAGTTTTGGGGTGGGTGGAGGAAAAGTTAGGGCTGGACGATATCTGGTTTTCAACATTGCAATTTATCACTAGCTAAACGTTGCCATATATTGATATATCACAATGTCTGAAATAAGGAGGAGCTATGAAGAGGCATTGGCTGGCGTAACAGTTTTTCCCACATCATCATTTTTGCATAGCGCGCGCACACATGCACACCATGACTCGCAGTATATTGCCAGGTAAAAACTTATGAGAGGCATCTCTTTCTTTCTGTGATTATTATTATTTTGCTGTGTGTTGGCAACTGTGTTTGCATACCTCACCAAAACCTTTTCTCATCCTCCGCTCTTTGCTTTATTTCTCTGTTTGTCTTGAAGTCAAAGTGGAAAGGGCCATTAAAGGTAAAATATCACAAATGACTCGTGTTAAATGTCTTCCTTGCTTAATCCCCCTTGTGCAGTTTGTTTCGTTGTCATCTTTCTTTTTTTGTTCAACCCTTTATTGTTTTGGCTCCATAGGACGGATCCCAAAAGCAAAGGCTAACCAGTTATCAGCTGCAAACTATAACTAATATACTCTGGGAAATAACTCTGATCTGGAGTAAGCAGGCTGTGGATTGAAGCTATAGGACTTGTAGTCTGTGGGTAATAACTTGTACACCAGAGCTTTCCAAACTGTGTGTTGCGACACGTTAGTGTGTCAGATGCAGTGTGAAGGTGTGTTGTGTGAATGCTCCTTGCACTCCTCACAGGGCTGGAAAGAGGTTAGTTTAACCTCTGATTTGCTGGTAAAACTGCATTACTGTGTCGCAAAATGATGCATGCCATTAATGTGAAAAGTTTGGAAAGTTATGTTGTACAGATACAGCCGTACCTTGGTTTTTGAACAGCTTAGTTCTCGAACATTTTGGCTCTTGAATGCCACAACCCCAGAAGTGTTCCAGTTTGCGAACTATTTTTGGAAGCTGAACGTCTGACGGGGCTTCCGCTTCTTCCAATTGGCTGCAGGAGCTTCCCGCAGCCAATCAGAAGCCACGCTTTGGCTTCCGAATGTTTTGGAAGTCGAATGGACTTCCGAAAAGGATTCCGTTCAGCTTCCAAGGTACGACTGTGTATGGATAATGGGAGGGATGGCAAGCTAGCTAGCGTTCATAGGCAAGTGTGCTGGTTGTGTTTCTCTTGCAGTGGGCAAGTTGGGTTTTGACTAGGAGTAAATTGGATGAACAGGAATGAGAGGAAAAACATTGTTAGGGTAACAAAAAATGGGGGGGATGTTGTTTCCCTTCTTCATGTTTTCCCCGGTGCAGACAATAGTTGACACTTAACAATGGTTGATGGCAATCATGGCTTCTTGCTGCTTTAACCCTGATTAATATTGTGAAATGTCCAGTGAAACCATTTCTTTTTGAATGAATCCCAGAGGGCATGCAAAGGAAGTGAGACTTGCCTGTCACTTTGCAGCCAGAGAGGCTAGAATGCTGGTTAACACAACCATAGTTTATAAACACACTTCAAACCATTGTTTCATGTGATCAGTTGTTAATTGTGGATTAGAAGTTAGATATGGATATAAATGGGTTGTTCATGTTTCTGATTCCAATAAACGTAGCTTGTAATAATATGTTTATTTCAGTGGAAGTAGACATTGTAGCTTGTTTGGCATCTAGAGGTTCATGAACTTGTTCCACTGCCCTTGAAAAGAGCTTGCTAGGCCCCACTTAGCAAGCAACCAAGAAGCAAAAAACTGCAGGGAAAGTTTACTTGCCAGCAGACAAATTCAGGAGCGGGTCTTGAGGCTACAGTCCACCATCCCTTACTCGCTTTGTAAATGGCCATCCCAGAGAAACTGGTGCTAACCGGGGCTCTAGTGATAGAACATGATTACAGGACTTTGGTAACAAATGTGGCTTGCGAATTTCAAGCTCTCCTTCCAGAACTGTGTTGTTCTCTTAATTGTAGTATTGGTACATTGATCTGGCAATAGTCCTTTCTGTGTAGCTAGATGATGCACAGAGCTGGTGTCTAAGCCAAGGGTTGCCAAAATTAGAGAGCGAAAAAGAGGACAGCCTGAGTCAGGGAAAGAGATGTGCTGGCGCGCGAAACCCCCGCATCTTCATGCCCCTTTTCCCAGCTCGGGCTGGCAGCCGCTATAGCATACAGAGCGGCCCCAGCCCAAGCTGCCCAAGCCTGAGCCCACCCCCCCAAATTAAAAAAAAACACCCTGTACATTTCCTTTAAAATGTAAAAATCCACCCGGATTGGAATGTTGCCCCCCCTAAAAGAAGACATGTCCAGGTTTTCCCGGACGTATGGCCACCCTACCATATGGCTAAAGTTCTTGGGTGTTTGTTTGTTTTGTTTTGTTTTGCATTCAATCATCGCAGCTATTCGAGAAACAAAGGAGGCTCTGGAGAACGTGAGCGTGTCTGTGGAGGTCTTGCAGGAGGGCACTGAGAGGCTGCATGCCAACCTGACAGATGTTAAAGAGCACCTGATCAACACACTCGGGGATTCGGCTTGCACAGCTGCCCAGGCAGCATCCACTTGCAACGTCATCAGGAATTCCTTAGATCAGCTAAACATCAATGCCAACTTCAGCAAGGTAAAGGAGATATTCCATCAGCATTCCACCAGTTCTTCTCAGCGGCCTAATTCTCACTCGGAAGCCAGCCTTTTTTCTGGCCATTGAATGAATGAATGAATTTGTGCGTCACCCTTTGTCTGAAGTTCTCGGCATCAAAAAAATACCAAAAAAAAATGCTTAGTAAAAAATTGGAGCAACAACAAACCAATCGCACCTCCCAGAAACACATTTAAAAGGCCATAGAATGTCAATCAGCCAAAGGCCAGGCTATGGAGAAACATTTTCACCTGGTGCCTAAAGATGTACAATGGAGGTGTCGGGCAAGAGAGAGACTTCCACAAGTGAGGAGCCACTGCAGAAAATCATAGAACTTTGAAGTGTCAGGCATAGCTCTAATGGCTTTAGCCCAAACGTAGCAGAGTTTTCCTGCACAGCGAAGAAGCTAGTTGAGGTGGAAATGACTAGTCAGCTAGACTCAGAATAACTATTTACAGGATTTATTAAAAGGAAAAATAAAACCAGCAGAGTTTCTGCATACAAAACAAAGCAAAATAAATCCTTTCTTTCTCTCTCTCTCTCTTAACCATACACAGCACTCCTACTCCTAATACACCTAACACACGCTGTGCTAGCATTCCTAGATAACAGAGTTGAGTGCTGGTCGTTAACCAATAAGAGTAAGTAGTTTCTAGGTCAAGCAGACCTTGGCTTTCTGCCAAGAGTAAATTGACACTGCCTTGAGTTAATTGTGTGAAGCCAGAATCTGTAAGTTTTCATGAGAATCAATTAACAGAAACTGAACAGAAAAGGCCCTCTGGATCTCTAATGGGGGAGGCACATGAAGAAGGGCTTCTGATGATGATTACAGAGTCCAGGTCAGTTCCCTCAGTCTATTCAGACTGAAGGTAGGGCCTCATGTGACCAAGCACCTTTCCAGACAAAAATGCTCATTGGGACGTGGAAAGCAAGGTGCTGATGAGTAGGGGAGGTTCTCGTCTAACCTTCTCTCTGGTGTGCAAGTTTTTCCTTGACCAGTGAATGTTTTTTATGTGCAGGAAAACTCATGTGAGCCCCTATTTGCAGTCTGATGTGGTACACCCCAGACATGGGTTTACCATGTCAGTGAGACCTAGGCCAGCGTAAAAAAAGGTAAAGGTAAAGGACCTCTGACAGTTAAGTCCAGTCGCGAACGACTTTGGGGTTGAGGCGCTCATCTCACTTTACAGGCCAAGGGAGCCAGCGTTTGTCCGCAGACAGTTTTTCCGGGTCATGTGGCCAGCATGACTGAGCCGCTTCTGGCAAACCAGAGCAGCACACGGAAATGCTGTTTGGGGAAGTTTGGTGGTTGTTGTTTGCCATTATTTAACCATTTTTTGCGGGAGAGGGAAGCCCACAGGATGATATTGGGGATTACAGTGAAGCTGAACAAATGATGCAAAGAACAAAGGAAGACTTGACTTTACAAAAAAATGATGCACAGACTAAAACTAACTTTAACATCTCTTTTCTTCCTTTCAGTTGCCGGGAGTGAATGCTCAACTTGCCAAAGTCAATGAAGTCCTTAAAACAGACCTCTCTAGTCTGGTTCAAAAGGTATGTTACTTGAAGGTATAAATCCATTTACTCGAATTACAGGGTAGCACCTGGTGCTCAAGAAGCTGTCGAATTTTGCACCTTAAGAAAAGGTGTCAGCAAATAGATGCTCCGGGTATCTTTGTGTACCGAGGAACATAAGACAAGGGGAGGTGCACAGCCTTTGTGCCAATGTTACACTTTCCTAAAGTAAAATTGGAGGCATGCCTTATTTATTAAATTTCTATCCCACCTGTTGATTCAGAAGGACTCCCATGGCAGCTTACATAAAATAATAAAATAAAACTACATTGGGGCTGTTTTACCTGCTCTGGTACATACAGTGAGGGGGGGAAAGTATTTGATCCCCTGCTAAATTTGCCCATTTGCCCTCTGATGAAGAAATGAGCAGTCCATAATTTTAATGGTAGGTTTATTGTAGCTGTGAGAGACAAAATAACAGGAAAAACCCCAGAAACCCAGAAGACAAAAAGTCAGAGATTGATGTGCATTCTAATGAGTGAAATAAGTATTTGATCCCCTATCAACCAGCCAGATGTCAGGCTACCTGGTATCTTCGCTGTATGTAAGGAGCTGAGATTAGAAGCACCTGCTGTAAGGGAGAGGTCTTACTTGTAATCCCAGCTCGTTACAGTACCTGTACAAAAGACACCTGTCAACAGAAGCAATCAATTCAGCAGATTCCAAAGTAGCCACCAAGACCAAAGAGTTGTCCAAGGATGTCAAGGTCAAGATTGTAGACCTGTGCAAGGCTGGACTGGGCTACAAGACTATTGCCAAGCAGCTTGGTGAGAAGGTGACAACAGTTGGTGCAATAATTTGCAAATGGAAGAAAGACAAAATAGCTATCAACTTCCCTCGGTCTGGGGCTCCATGCAAGATCTCATCTCGTTGAGTTGCAGTGATCATGCGAATGGTGATGAAGCAGCCCAGAACTACACGGGGGGAACTTGTCAATGATCTCAGGGCAGCTGGGACCATAGTCGCCAATAAAACAATTGATAACACACTACGCCATGAACGACTGAGATCTTGCAGAGCCCACAAGGTCCCCTTGCTCAAGACAGCACATGTACAGGCCCGTCTGCAGTTTGCCAATGCACATCTGTGTGACCCAGAGGAGAACTGGGTGAAAGTGTTGTGGTCAGATGAGATCAAAATCTTTGGCATCAACTCCACTCGCCATGTTTGGAGGAGGAGGAATGCTGCCTACGACCCCAGAACACCACCCCCACTGTCAAACATGGAGGGGTACATATTATGCTTTGGGGGTGTTTTTCTGCTAAGGGGACAGGACACCTTCCCCACATCGAAGGGACGATGGATGGGACCATGTATCGTCAAATCTTGGGTGAGCACCTCCTTCCCTCAGCCAGGGCATTGAAAATGGGCCGAGGATGGGTATTCCAGCATGACAATGACCCAAAACACACAGCCAAGGCAACAAAGGAGTGGCTCAGGAAGAAGCACATTAAGATCCTGAAGTGGCCTAGCCAGTCTCCAGACCTTAATCCCAAGGAAAATCTGTGGAGGGAGCTGAAGGTTCGAGTAACTACACATCTGCCTCGAAATCTTACTGACTTGGAGAGGATCTGCAAAGAGGAGTGGGACAAAATACCTCCTGAGACGTGTGCAAACCTGGTGGCCACCTACCAGAAACGCCTGACCTCTTTAATTGCCAAGAAGGGTTTTGCCACCAAGTACTAAGTCATCTTTTGCAAAGGGATCAAGTACTTATTTCACTCATTATAATGGACATCAATCTCTGACTTTTGTCTTCTGGGTTTCTGGGGTTTTTCCTGCTGTTATTCTGTCTCTCACAGCTACAACAAACCTACCATTAAAATTATGGACTGGTCATTTCTTCGTCAGAGGGCAAACAGGCAAATTTAGCAGGGGATCAATTCCCCACCCGCCCCCTCACTGTAGCATCAGACCTGGAGCCAGATGCATTTAAATCTCCCACCTGCAGACAAGGGGTGTGAATGGCAGGGCAGACACAATTGTGGATACCTTTCTGTTGATGTTTAGAGTGTCAGTGCAATTGCTAGGCCTCTAAGTTATCTCTGAAATCCCCACATGGTTTGCAACAAGGCATGCCAGCTTGACATATGTTTCCATAATCCACATAAGCAAAAATATGCATTCCATATATAATACACAGGCAGTTCAGGGCAATGAAGCTCATAGATTCTTCAAAGAAGCATTATCCCTACACACCTCCAAGAATGTGGAAGCCAAGTATTCTATAATGATGTCTACTCATGTGATACCATCCACCCCACTGTGAAGACATTCTGGGAGAGCAAGCATGCGCATGTCATTTGTGTGATTAGGCATCTGTGTGTGAACTGAGGTCTCCACATTGTTTGAAGTGTCTGATAGGAGAGAGAGGTGTTCTCTCTAGCACCATGGGAAGGCTGTCACTGGTAGCATGAACCAGGCGTATAGTGAGTGTGCATCAGCACTATGGAAGCTTGTGGTACAGTCTGATAGAATAAACCCAGCTTCCAGGTTTATTTAAAATGTGGTGATACAAACTTTTTGGATGTGGCCCTTTTAAAGGTAGAAATAAGCATACTGATATTTTGTTGTCAAGACACTGTTGGACATCTCAGTTTTTTATTCCAGGGTTATGCAGCATTTAATGACACACCTGATTTGGTGCTCAATCAGACAAGGAACATTTTATCAGGTAAGGAGGATGAGATGATTAGTTCTCCAACTGGATTGGTTAAAATTATTGGCGTGAGCTATCATTTTAGTATCATCTATTTTTTAATTAGGGAGGTTCTTATCTAAATCAGAACTATTAAAGAGAAGCCATTAAAATATAGGTTGCTCCTTGGGCAATGCTTAATCATAATATTGACTACTTTTTTATTGAAGAAGAGTATTTCCTTGATTGCGGTGGGTTGAGGGAGATCTTCACTGCATCAAGGCTATGGCAAAGGCTTCATTCCAGGGAAAGAAGAAGGAAGAGATGGATGGGTGGGTGGTGGAGGAGTCAGTAATCCAACCATGACTTCTTAGTAGGTGACCCAGGAGCAGTGGAATGCCATGACCTGAAACACTCTCCCAGCTAGGAGAGGAATTCATAGTCTAATCTACTCACAAGTGAGGCTTTGTTGATAAGATGAAGGGAAGGGGCACCAAAATGTGGCTTAAGAGGGCTGACTGTGTCCATACAATGTAGGGAGAGGTCAAGGAGCTCTTTGGGTGAAGGCAATTGTGGAGGATGCTAAGTACCAGAAGGAACATGAGTAATGTGGGAGGGGAGAGGGGGAAGGTTGGAAGAAGAGTATAAAGATCTTACTGTGGTGTGGCAGTGGTGAGGTACACTCCCCCCATCTTTGTACACTGACATAAGACCTAAAAAACACAATGGCTTAGCCCTGATATTCAGTCTTAGTGCAAGGTAAGGGTAAAGGGTAAAGGACCGTTAGGTCCAGTCATGACCGACTCTGGGGTTGCAGCGCTCATCTTGCTTTAGTACAGCTTCCAGGTCATGTGGCCAGCATGACTAAGCCGCTTCTGGTGAACCAGAGCAGCGCACAGAAGCGCTGTTTATCTTTCCACTGGAGCAGTACCTATTTATCTACTTGCACTTTGATGTGCTTTCGAACTGCTAGGTTGGCAGGAGCAGGGACCGAGCAGCAGGAGCTCACCCCGTCGTGGGGATTCGAACTGCCGACCTTCTGATCAGCAAGTCCTAGGCTCTGTGGTTTAACCCACAGTGCCACCCGCGTCCCTTCAGTCTTCATGTAGGATCCCTTAAATCATGGGTGGCAATTTTCTACATTTTCAGTGGCCATTCTGGTCTCTAGACAGTGGTTCAGGGGCCAGAGGTCAACCTTCATAATAAAAAAAAGCATAAGCTAGCCATGAATGTAGATGGGAGGAGAACTCGGACGTTCTTAACGTGGGGGTACGAGTGGAATATGGGCAGACGTAGCCCATCTCGAGGAGGTTCCTTGCCTCAATTCTTCTTGCACCCCATGCTGTCTAGCGGCTTCTACCTCTCCTCCAAGGAAGAACCCCAGCCCTCACTTTGGATAAGATGGGAAGGCTGCAACCACAGGATTTCACAGGAGGAAAATGGCACTCTGTGCAAAATGGGTAGCCTGCTGGGGACATGCCAATCTTTGTTGGAGCCTCTCTGGCACCTGCTATTCTGATTCTCTTACCCAAGGCATAGGGACTACTTTATTGCTTTGCTCTCTTTACTTTATTGCTTTGCTCTCTTTATTGCATTAGCACTCTCTGAGAGTTGAACTGTTGGCAAATGTTTTTTAGGACACAAATGCAAGACTGTTTGTCCATTTCTAGCAAGAGGGGGCTCATAGCTTAGAAACATGGGCGCCATAGGCATAACACTGTTTACAAGTAGCCACATTTAGAAATGATATACACGTCACAAATAAAACCTGAAGAAATGTAGACTATCTCTTAATAATTGCAGGTTTCTTCCTTTTCAGTTAAGCTCTGCACTAACCCATAAATGTTCCAGAACTAAGCCCCCAAGCACTATTAAAATAGCTAACATGCTAGTGTTTTCCAGATGGGCATGGGTTGGTGTATCCAGAGTGAGAAAATATTTATTAACCTCTCTCAATTTTTATTCTTGCATTGTGGACCTGTTCTACCAATATAACCAGCCGTACCTTGTAAGTTTCCAAAAAGCAATTCACAGTATGTATATATGCATATGGCATACTGTGCAACTCATCAAGAAATGCCAAGCTTTTCCCCCCAAAATGTCATGTTCCTCCTTAATTTTTCAACCTGGGGGACTTTCAAAGCAAGATCATTATTTCTCAGTTACTATTAATATGCATTAAGCTTTAATAATCTTCATGCTCCTGTACCTGAGAATGGGAGTAAAAGCAAAGGGCAGAATTATAACAAAACTAAGCTTGTGAAGCACCATTGTTTTCATTCTTCCCATTGAAATTATTGGGACTCGAAACTGTTCAGCTCTGGGTGAAGACAGACATAACATGTATAGAGCGGTGGAAACAACGGTGGAAGTAGAAAGACCTACATTGGCTCCCAGTACGTTTCCAAGCACAATTCAAAGTGTTGGTGCTGACCTTTAAAGCCCTAAATTGCCTCGGTCCAGTATATCTGAAGGAGCGTCTCCACCCCCATCGTTCAGCCCAGACACTGAGGTCCATCTCCGAGGGCCTTCTGGCGGTTCCCTCATTGTGAGAAGTGAGGTTTCAGGGAACTGTGGAACACCCTCCTGTCAGATGTCAAGGAAATAAACAACTATCTGACATTTAGAAGACATCTGGAGGCAGCCCTGTTTAGGGAAGTTTTTCATGTCTGATGTTTTAATGTATTTTTAATCCTTTGTTGGAAGCCGCCCAGAGTGGCTGGGGAAACTCAGCCAGATGGGGGGGGGTATAAATAATAAATAATAATTTTTATAATTATTATAGAAGTTGACTCCTTGCGAACCCAGACGCACCCCCCCTCCCCCAGGAGCCAGGCCTCGCGTTGAAAGGAAAAGACACGACAACATATATCTGGGATTAAAATGGCCACAACTTTATTGAATTCAGGTGTAGGAACGCCCTGCAAGGGGCATTGGGCAGGTATCCCTCTCAGCCTTCTGCTGGGCGTCTGAGGCATGACAGGGTCAGTTAGCAGTTGATGGGACCAATGCAAAGCACGGGTTTATGCACTGGTCCCTCCCAAATCGCTGAAGGTAGCTCTGTGGCCCCTCTGCTGTGCGCTTGTGGACAGAGACTACCCTCATGACCCCTCTAACGGGGTACCCTGTTATCACCGTCACAGGAAGTGGGTGAGTCACCATTTCACCCCTTCTTCAGATGTTTGACTAAAGGATTCCGCCCAAGGTCTAAACCACCAAAGTTCTGACAATTGCTATGGGGAAGGCAAAACCTACAGAGCAGGGGAAATTCCTCCCCAGCTCTGAAGACAGCAACCATTGTACGACCAGAGCAACGCCAGCGTGCCTGGAAAGCAAAGGTTAGCCTGCAAGAAAACAAGTTTAGAGGGTGAGCTGGGTGGGTGACGCTCTGGGGATGACTGTGTAGCTTAGAGCAGCGCCAGCCCCCTTTTGTACTCTTGGAGCAGAGTGAATGTGCTCCAATTGGCCCGTCCCACCAAGGCCGCCATGGATTGGCCTGAAATTTCAAAACTGGGTTTGGCGGGAACCCAGCAGGCACTGTGGCGGCCCAGGGGCAAATATGGCGTGGCTTTGGGAGGAGGGGGAACCGCCACGCCAGGTCGCAACTGCCACCCACCTGATTACCGGGTAAGCGGCCGTTTCTGATTAACATACAATGTGAGCCATTTTCCATGTGGTTGATTTTTAAAAGGGGGAAGCCAGTTGTACAGTCATACCTCGGGTTACAGACGCTCCAGGTTGCGTGTTTTCGGGTTGCACACGGTGCCGAACCCGGAAATACCAGAACGGGTTACTTCCGGGTTTTGGCGCTCGCGCATGCACAGAAGCACTAAATCGTGCTTTGCGCATGTGCAGAATCGTGACCCACGCATGCGCAGACACAATGCTGCAGGTTGTGAATGCTGCGGGTTGCGAACGTGCCTCCCGCACAGATCACGTTCGCAACCTGAGCATCCACTGTAGTTGATATTGATATAACTCAGTCGCTGAAGCAGTTTCCCAGTTATTCACGTTGGTTTTTCATTAGAGCTGATGAATTGAACGCATGTGCACAGGTGCACACGCACACACGTGTGTTATATAAAAATACTGGGAGACATATGGATTTTGATTCGCTGGTGTTCTTCTTCTACACTACCACTTAAATATGTCTGTCTGTCTTCACACTTGGTCTGACCTGTGTCCCATGCTTAACAGCAGATTCAGTGCCGATGAATAAAATAAGTGAGAGCAGTTCCAAGTACTTTACTTCTCAAATAGAATGATTATGGCATGTTATCTCAGTGAAAAGAGATATACCTCAATTTGGGGGGGCATGTGAACTCTAAAATTTCATGTAGAGACACTAAATTTTTGAAATGAGGTTCATTTTGGCATATGTTGACACAATGGTTGGATTTTAAAATTCAAAATTACTTTTAATGCATATTGAAAGTCACGGTTGCCCATTCTTTCCATCATAGGAACTTTAAACATTGTGCTTATATTCCTTTTGCATGATATTGTTTTTTCCAACAAAGTGGCATTAGATAGCTTTAAAAATATCTGCTGCTACTGTGTAGGCATTAGGGATGAAATTTATCATGTTTGTTGCACAGACTGGTTGAAATCATTAGGAATTTAAAAGCAGCCAATGTTCATTATTTCCGTTTTCTGAGGTGGGGCTTAATGCAGCGCTCACTCTATGGGTCCTGATTACTTGTTACTTCCAGACACAAATCTCAGCCCACAGTGAATCTCTCTGTCTTGCGGTCCCACCCAATGCTGGGTAGAGAAAGTGGTGAACTGGGCTATGCAGTGTTTGCATACCTTAACTGTTTTTATTACTATTATTGGATGCTTAATCAGAGATTGTGTGCAAATAAACATGGTACAACCCAGTTCATGTATTACATTCTAGATTGGGTGAAGATTGCATGCATATCCGAGATGCGGACCAGGTAGAGATTTCTCTCTAGAAAGTAAGAGGCTTATGGTAAAGTGGGATTTGTTATGTACTGAAGTTCTCACCCTGGGCCAGCAGGGGGATACTGTAGATAGTTCAGGTCCACATATGCAAATAAGGGATCGAAAGTGACGTTCAGTGATTTCGCTCGGTGTTTCAGCTCAGTGATTCAGCTCCGCTCAGAGGGTGGCTGCATCTGGCTGTGCTCTGTTGTCCATCCATCCCATCCTCGTTGCCAGTGTTAAGTTGTGGGTGAACATATCAGATGACACAGCGATTCTTCAAACAGCTCTTGTTTATTCACAGGCCAGAACAGAACAGAACTGAAGGGTTCAGCCAGCCTGCTTATATAGCTCCACTAGAATGCAACAGTAACCATTTTATGTAACTATCCAATCACTGAACGTCACTATCGATCCCTTATTTGCATATGTGGACCTGAACTATCTACAGTATCCCCCTGCTGGCCCAGGGTGAGAACTTCAGTACATAACACCTTTCAAGTTTTTAACCTGGCGATTATAATACTGAAACTGCCTAGAGAAGACACTCTATTCTTTGGTCTGGTCTCACTGAAGTGAGAAATCTGTGTCTGGGCTGTACAACTTCAGGAGATTCACACACAGCAAAATCTGAAGTGGAATATCCCAGACACAGGTTTACCAGTAGACCACAGTTTCAGTACACAGAAGCAGGAAACTGTGGCTTGCATCAACATGCGCTACATTTAGCACTACATTTGTATGTATGTTTTGTGTGTGTGAGAGAGAGAGATAGTGCACATTAAAACGCCGATTTACATTGAAATTGTATTTGTGGCTTGCTTTTTTCAGTTTCATGCTTCTCTTCATGCCTTATTCTGTTGCCTAGAGCTACAATCCAATAAGTTTTTTTTTTAGTATGTGACAAATCGTTTTATCTTGTGTAGCATTATAATAATCATCATAAACACACTCATTTATTTCAGATATTAAAAATGTACTGGAAGCAGTTGGTTCAAATATCACAAGCTTTACTAAAATGCTTCCCATCCACAAGATAATAGCAGACTTCACCCTATATCTTACTCAGGGTGAGACATATGCTCAAGAATATTTTCCAGTGGTGGAGCAGTATGATTTCTACAGGTACGTAATATTATCTGGATATTGATGCGCAAAGGGCCACACTGCAGTTAGTGTGCCAGCTCACATCTGCATCATACATTAAAACACTCTTCTACCACTTAGCAGACATGACTTCTCTCAAAGTATCCTGGGAACTGTAGTTTGTTAAAGGTGCTGAGAACTGTATCTGTGTGCAGCGTCTCCTAGCAAGTCTCAGCACCCTTAACAATCTTTTGTTCCCAATATTCTTTGGGAGAAGCTGTGAGTCTTGTAAGTGGTAAAAATGCATAGGGCGAGCGCTGGGGATTAACACCAGTAAAACTGATACTAAACAGGTGACTGACAACTCAGCTGTACCGCTGCAAATGCAATGTTTTATGTGTGTTGTAAAGTGCAGTGTACAAATGTGACACCTGATGGCGATGGTGAGCTATGGCAAATTCAATATACCGTATTTTTCAAAACTTTTTTTAAAAAGCATTTTCACAGCGGTTTTTAATATGTGTGTAGAGTCCACCTCATACACAGTGTGGTGAAAGTGTCTAGTAGGGTTGTGGATTGGCTCTGTATATATCCCAAATCACAAAGCAAACCTGGGTGTCTTGGGGAAGACTTTTGTGTTCCCAAATTGGATTGTGCTATGAACAAGATGTGTTCAGGGAGTCCCCAACCCTCTGAATAGCTTTCTTTCCTTGGTTTATCCAAAATTTTGGAACACACAACCTCCCTCCACCCCCAACTTTCCCGTTTTCTTTTCTGACACACGAAACCTAGGTAACTGGGTAAATGCACATATCTCAATGAGGGTGTGGAAATCTTATTTTGGTGGATTTTTCCAGTGCATTCCAGTCACAGTGATTAAGAAGTAGGGGGTGCTGAAGTAAATAAACAAAGCAGATTCTGTCACCTTGTATATATATTTTTCTTCTTCCCATCACATTTTAGGTTGTAAGACTCCAATATAGGCTTACTAAAGCTGCTTTGGGGCTAAATTAGAGTCTTTCAGTACTAGAAATTCAAGGACGCACCAGTGACATATTTTTTTGAATGTTTAAATGTTTGCATTCCTTTCTTCTCCAACACACAACTGCTTTCTAGCTTGTAGGTTTTATTGACCTGGATCTGTGTTTAATTTGCCCACTGCCATGCATGTTAATGTGACAATTGTATTTTTATTGATTTGTCTAGGTGGCTGGGTTGCTTAATTCTCTGCTGCATGGTGATATTGATCCTTGTGTTTTATTACCTGGGGTTGTTGTGTGGTACCTGTGGTTATGACAAAGACGCCACTCCAACAACGAGAGGCTGTATCTCAAACACTGGAGGAAACTTCCTGATGGCGTGAGTCCTTCTTGTTTGTTTCAGAATTCTCCCCAGCCTTACACTGTCTATAACATTAGTGTCTCACATCAAATGTAACTGATCTGTAGCAAAGATTCTATGAACGGAAAACAGAGACAGCGTATGTACTTTTGTAATAACAAGAAAAATCTTTAATGAAAACATAAAAAACAAAGAATGTCACCAGATTAAGAAGGCTGCATTGACAAAACAAGTTTGGAGACGAAAGAAAGAAAGAAAGAAAGAAAGAAAGAAAGAAAGAAAGAAAGCAAAAGAAATCCTTTTTTGCACCAATGTATGTTCTCAATATGGCGTGTGAGCTTTTGAATTCCTTCCTGAGGCAGGATATTAAATTATTTTAAAAATTAAAGGTCTTTTAAGCAAACACTGTTGATCCTTTAGAGACATAGCTGTCAACCATCCCTTATTTGGCGGGAAAGTCCCTTATCCCAGCGCTCTGTCCCGCTGCTGTCCCTTATTGATGATGTCTCTTAAATTTCCCGGGTTTCAAAGGAAGCAGCTCCTCTCCCTCCCTGCCTGCCGGCCAGGGATGAGGGAGGCTCCAACTGTGTTGCTTGGCTGCGTTGCTCACCCAATAAGGAGTCTAAGAACGACTGGGGGGTGGAGCTTGCATGCCTTGTGCCGATCAAATCGGCTGCGTTGCCTGGCGACTCGCCTTTGCTCAGCGCTTCCCAGCAGAGAGGTGATGGTGGTTTTCCTTGCTGCATCCCCTTTGCTGTGCTGCTGCACTGTGGGAACCACTGCTTGAGGCTTCGTTTGGCTGCTGGCTGGGCTTTCTGCCTTTGGCTTGGAGGGGCTCAGAAGTTGAACATACCTGTGCTTGGAAAACCCTTATTTTGGCTGCTGATCCCTTATTTTCGAGGTTGCTGGTCCCTTGTTTTCAAATCTGTAAGTTGACAGCTATGTTTAGAGAGCTGACTGAATTCCTAAAAAGATGGTGAGATAGCCCTGTGCAGTCTAATGGCATTAAAACATGAGCCTTTCTAAAATATCTGATCTTTATACAGAGCAATGGAGGATACGTTGGAGAAAGTTAGTGTGGGTTCATGTGTCACAAATGATATTGTTTAGATGTGCATGCTGTTTATACAGACCTAAACATGTCACATGTAAATGTGACCAATATTTGCTTGCAGGCGCTTGTACCATACAGGTACGCTTGTCTGAGAACTCCAGGTGACTGCTCCATGTACACTTGGTGATAAAACCAAGTTTGCTGTCATGTGATTTATAAAGGGGCCCTTAATTAGATGTGAAGAATTAGAAGAAAAAGGGGGGCAGAGATTAGAAAAAGCTCTATAGTGTCTGATCTGGCTAATTTCTTTAACAGAGGAAAGAATATTGAATTCTATTGCTGTGATGAAACTGCCTTTGGCAGCAAGCAACTATTTTTAAACCATCCTGGGAATTGAAGACTTCAAAAAAGCTAATGCTAATTAGGGTATAAAAGGAGTGTTTCACTGCAGTCTCTAAAGCAAACCTGTTTGAAGCAGGCGTTTCAAAATCCATCTGAAGTCTCAAAGGAGGAAATCGAAAAGTGGGTGGAAGAGAGAACTTTTAAGCTGTTCCTGAAAGATTATTCTAATGCTTCCCCCACCCCGAGGGGTCCACTTATGGGAAAGTCCTAAGGCTGCAATCCTAACCCCATTTACCTGGGATTAAAGGTAAAGGGACTCCTGACCATTAGGTCCAGTCATGACCGACTCTGGGGTTGCGGTGCTCATCTCGCTTTATTGGCCGAGGGAGCCGGCGTACAGCTTCTGGGTCATGTGGCCAGCATGACTAAGCCGCTTCTGGCGAACCAGAGCAGCACATGGAAACGCCGTTTACCTTCCTGCTTCCTATTTATCTCCTTGCACTTTGACGTGCTTGCGAACTGCTAGGTTGGCAGGAGCAGGGACCAAGCAACGGGAGCTCACCCCGTCACGGGGATTCAAACCGCTGACCTTCTGATCATCAAGTCCTAGGCTCTGTGGTTTAACCCACAGCGCCAATTGAGTGGGACTTACTTCTCAGTAGACATGGCTAGAATTGCACTGTAATGCTGTCTTCTTCACTTGAAAGGACAGATTGCTGCCGATTCCAACCCATAGTCTGGAAGTTCTTTGTTCCTGTTACTCAAAAGCTACGCTTGCCCCCAACGTTCTGATTTGCCTCCTTGTTTTCACAAATTCCCATCACAGTTGACACTCTTCCCCAAACTGGAATGGGTCTCTGTGTGTGACAGATACAACAAATACTTGCTCGTGTGAGCTTATATGACAGCAATCTTTGCTAGGAATGCTATGGTATAAATTTGTGTGCCGTGCTTGTTTTATTAAGAATCACTTTGCTTGTCTTTGTTTTCCTTGTCACGATTCAGTAAGTTGATTTTAGTTGGTCCTTTTCAAATGGCTCTTAAACCAACTCATATGATGTATTATTATTTTTTCCCCTTGTTTTCTTTCAGCGGAGTTGGATTCAGTTTTCTTTTCTCCTGGGTTCTGATGCTAATAGTAGTGGTCACTTTCATTACGGGAGGAAATATGGAGAAGCTTGTTTGTGAACCATTTGAAGACAGGAGTTTATTCAAAGTAAGATTCCTCATATCAAGGCCATTAAGTGATCAACAACAATGAAAAAGCACACTGAAGTCAGTACAGTGGTGCCTCGCAAGACGAAAAGAATTCGTTCTGCGAGTCTTTTCGTCTTGCGATGTTTTTCGTCTTGCGAAGCACGGTCCGTCGCAACTGCGCCTCTTCAAGCGGCTTTTTTAAAAAAGCGCAAGACGTTTTCGTCTTGTGAAGCAAGCCCATAGGGGAATTTGTCTAGCGAAGCAACGCAAAAACGGAAAACCCTTTCGTCTAGCGAGTTTTTCGTCTTGCGAGGCATTCGTCTTGCGGGGCACCACTGTATTGCCTTAGATAGCATAACTTCAATGTTTACCTACACTTGATAATCATTTATATTTACATAGTGCTGTTTTTTGCTTAAAGCACTTCCTCTACATCTTGTTATCCCATCAGCAGTGCTATAGGGTAAATTAGTAGTATTATCACCCTGTTGCAGTTTGGTGAATGGACCTGAGAGAGAGAGAGAGTGTGTGTTGTTCCTAGCAGAGGTGAGATCTGAACTTGGACTTTCAGGTTCCTACTTCAGTCTCTTTATAGCACCCCTTAGTTGCTGTCAACTCAGAAGTTAGTCTCATTGAATTCAGTGGAGCTTACTCCCAGGTAAGTGGGTATAGGATTGTAGCCTCGTCATCTTATACCATCATCATAGTATAATCTGGTATAAGATGCTTCCTGTGTCCCTAATTGGTTTCTAATTGGCCTCAGTGCACATCTTAGTGACTATAATCTAGTCACTGTCAATTCTAGGTCACACTTAGGATACATAACAGTGAAGCCTGGGCTGCAAAATAAATCTAGATTAATAACACATTCCAGAAGGGTTGTTATAGACCATGTCCAAAAATTGCATTGTTTAAAAGTGCCAGTACAGATCGTATGACTGGTTATAATTTTTAGTGGGGCCAAGCGAAACTGAATTTCAGAAGAAGTCTTCTTTCAGGTCAGCAGAGGACAATTCAAAAATTACATTTCTCCAGATCTCCAAGTCCATTCTGTCATTTGTAGATCCTTTCCCAGTTTTTCATGAAATTTTGGGGAAGCTCAACAGCAAAGAATAAATTTGACTTACCAGACTTTTCACCTAAGCTGAGGGTTTTCTCTTTCTTAAATTGTTAAATTTCCTAAGCAACAATAAAATGTGTCTCACTTGGGCATAGCAAAGTCTTTCTGGTCTCATGGCCTTCATATCATCTAAAACTTCTCATATCCTAAGACATTATTATTTTTAATGCGTTCTTAATCAGTCTAAACTAGGTGATCAGATTATAGAAAAGGAGTGTGTTACCTATTTGCTTATAAAAGTTTGCAGCCTCAGGTACTAAAACCAAACTCAGGATTGGTTTAAGTCTATAACCAACTAAGACATGAATAGATTGTGCATGATTTCTCTAACCTTAAGGTCCATGGTTTTTCCTGAAACCAAACTAGACTCAAGAAATCACATGAGATGCTTCAATGTTATATGAAAAGCTCTCAGAATTGCGATGTCGAGAAAAAGAACATTGGTTTTTTCGTTGTTTTCCAGGTTTTGGATACACCATATTTGCTAAATCAGCAGCTGAAATACTATCTTTCTGGAATCATTTTAAAAAATCCAAACATTGACTTGACATTTGAAAAAGTTTACAGGTAACTCTGCATGTATTATGATATAAACAAATGCAGCTATGGCTTATTTGAAATTTTGCACTGCTACACGATTGAAGCTCATTGACTAAACTGAGGTTTACATGTTTCAAAATGTCACTAAAACTGCCTTTTTCTGAGACCTCCTCTTTTCCTGTCTTGGGCTGCAACTCCCTTGCCATATCATTTATTCTGTTATCACCAGGTTGGGCACTGTTTTCCTTTTGGGAGAAGATGGAGGCAAAGTAGATATTGAGCAGTTCCACCATTTCTCTGTCACCCAATAGTATTTCTCTGTCTTCTCCACGCAGATTTACTTACTTGTTCTTCCTCCGACTTCAAACATACCATATTTTTTGCTCTATAAGACTCACTTTTCCCCTCCTAAAACGTAAGGGGAAATGTGTGTGCGTCTTATGGAGCGAACGCAGGCTGCGCAGCTATCCCAGAAGCCAGAACAGCAAGAGGGATTGCTGCTTTCACTGCGCAGCGATCCCTCTTGCTGTTCTGGCTTCTGAGATTCAGAATATTTTTTTTCTTGTTTTCCTCCTCCAAAAACTAGGTGTGTCTTGTGGTCTGGTGTGTTTTATAGATTGAAAAATACGGTAGACAAAAAGCCACCATTTTTATTATTTTTAACCTCTTTTTGCAAGTCTGGACTCGTTCTGAGCTTTAGCTCACCTGACCTCCCTGCAATTGTTGGCTACTTGTGTATTCTTCTCCTCCGTCATCTTCCATTTCTTATAGATGCCCTCCTTTAAATCTCTGCTCTCTCTCACACACGCAAAAGGAAGAAAAATCAGTCAAGTACATATAAGTCAGAAGAGTGTATCAATAATAAAAATAGATTTATTGCCGAATCTGATTTCCTCATATTATTTCAACATAAATTAGTAGGACTCCAGGTTTAGATGGGAATCAGCAAGGGCAGAAAAATTGGGGTGGGGGGGAGTCTGTAGTGGACGGAAAGGAAGTCTAAGAAAATTCTGATTTTTCCCATAATGACTGCTTCAATGCTTTTTTTAAAAAAAATGTTGATTTTTTTTTTAAAAAAAATCTTTTTGTGCCCCTGCTTTTGCTGGTGCCCTAAGCACATGCATAGACTGCCTCTTGGGTAATCCAGTACTGCTGGCAGACCTCCACAACATATTGCAAACTGATTAACTCCTTTCTGTTTCAAAAGAGGTGGTATAGGGGTTTTCCAGGGAGGTCTGGTGGGGGATGTTTGCGAAACACAACTGTTCCTCAGCCACCGGAAAATACCGTATTTTTCGTTCTATTGGACGCAGTTTTTCCTCTCCAAAAATTGAGGGGAAATGTGTGTGCGTCCTATAGAGCGAATGCAGGCTTGTGCCATAGCCGCGCGCAACCCCTCCGGCAAGGAGAGGCTGCAGGGGGCTAAAGGGGAAAGCCAAAACAGCAAGCGGGATGGATCCCGCTCGCTGCCTTGCCTTCTTCCATAGCTACGCGCAACCCCTCCGCAAGGTGGGGCTGCACGGGGCTATGGCTTCTTTAGCCCCACGCAGCTTCTCCCGGCAAGGAGGGGCTGCACGGGGCTAAAGGGGAAGGCAAAACAGCGAGCGGGATCCATCCCGCTCACTGCCTTGCCTTCTTCCATAGCTGCGCACAACCCCTCTGGCAGGGAGAGGTTGTGTGCAGCCTGTACGCTGCTCTTTGGGGCTGGGGGGAAAATATTTTTTTCCTTGATTTCCCCCCCTAAAAACTGGGTGCGCCCTATGATCCGGTGCGCCCTATGGTGCGAAAAATACGGTAGTTCTCAAGGACACTCAAGGACAAGGACACATTATTTCTCACAAGTGCATTTGGATATCTGGCATACTTATCTAAAAAGGGGAATTTTTGATGGCCAATGTTGCCAGCTATTTTTGTTCACCTGTTGGTGTTTATTTTACATGTGTCTTTAGTGACTGCAAGGAAAACAAAGGCCTTTATACTACCCTGCGCCTGGAAAACCTTTTCAACATCCATGAACTTCTGAATGTTAGCATGGTAAGTTAATATCGGTTGTGAGCATAAGGTAAAGGTACCCCTGACCGTTAGGTCCAGTCGTGAACGACTCTGGGGTTGCACGCTCATCTCGCTCTATAGGCTGAGGGAGCCGGCGTTTGTCCGCAGACAGCTTCTGGGTCATGTGGCCAGCATGACTAAGCCGCTTCTGGCGAACCAGAGCAGCACACGGAAACGCCGTTTACCTTCCCGCCAGAGGTTTACCTTCCCGCCTATTTATCTACGTGCACTTTGACATGCTTTCGAACTGCTAGGTTGGCAGGAGCAGGGACCGAACAATGGGAGCTCACCTCCTCGCGGGGATTCGAACTGCCGACCTTCTGATCGGCAAGCCCTAGGCTCTGTGGTTTAGACCACAGTGCCACCCGTGTCCCGGTTGTGAGCATAACCTATAGTATAATGGGTACTTTAGTGCTGAATGTCTGCAATCTTCTTTTAAACATAAATAACTTAGGTCTTACCTGGATTTAGTTTATTTGTTCAGCCCACCCATCCACTCCTCAGCTGACGTGTTACTTTTGCTGCCCCTCCGGTTGAGCTGAGTGCCATATTGATGAAAAATCAGCCCAAGCCAGCAGATCATGGGCAGGAAATCTCTTTCAGCAAAAGGCCTTCCTTCCTTCCTGGACAGCATTCCAGGGGCTGCAAGCCTGTAGAACAGCCTTTCTCAACCTGTGGGTCCCCAGATGTTGTTGGACTACAACTCCCATCAGCGCTAGCTAGCAAGGCCAGAGCTCAGGGATGATGGGAGTTGTAGTCCAACAACATCTGGCATGTCCAAAGTCTGCTCTGGGGGCCTAATCCAGCCCACCAGTTGATTTAATCCGGTCCCCGTGGCAGTATATGTCCTAGGGTAAAATCCTAAAAACAGCTCAACAACTTTCGGGTAAAATCGTAAAGAAAGCTCAACAACTTCAATCCTAAAAAAAGCCCAACAACTTTGGGGTAAACTTCAATCCTAAAAAAAGCTCAGTAACTTTGGGGTAACTTTGTTCGGCCCTCACGCATGTTCACTTCATCAAATCTGGCCCTCTTTGAAAAAGGTTTGGGCACACCTGAATTTTATAGTGACGGCCATTTCTGGCAATTTCTGTACACTAGTTACTCACTGAATTTTGTCTGAATGAGGCAGTAGATTCCCGATTTAATTAGAATAGGGTCTGGGTATTTCATAGCATGTAGAGGAGAATACATTTTTACATACAGTAAAAAAAATTGTTAATAGAAAAGAAGCGTCTAGCACAGCACTTTCCTACAGGAATAATTTAAAAATAATATGAAATGAATTGATGCATTCAGAAAAAAATATTTCCTATCTGCAGTCTCAAGTAGTGATATTCTGTTTATTCATTTCAGAATGTTTTGTCCTGTCTTTCTTCTATGAAACACTCAAGGCAGTTAAAAAAACCGATAGAACAGAAAATGACAAACAATAACTTTGCCACACTAGTTCTGCTGGCATGTCAAGATGAAAGCTGTGTGTGTCTCAAATGAGAAGCTGGCAGTAGGGATTTTTCCACTTGCTGTTGTAAATGTTCTAACGTTTGGTGAGAGCTGCTTCCTCCTGCTTTTGTCTCCTATAGTATGCAGAAGATGTATCGCTGAAAATCAAGCATATTAATATAAATCTAAGCAATATAGTCTTGCTTGATGAGAGGGGAAAGGAGAATTTGATGAATTTCAGTTCCTCGGGAATAAATGAGATAAACTTTGCGGCATATCTGTCAGAGGTAAGACAATGAGGAGGTAACTTCTGTTTTCATGTGGTGTAGAGAGGTTTTTTCCCCCAACCCCTCACCCCAGTAAATACAGGTATTTGACACCAAGGCATGCCTTTTAAAGATATAAGCGCTCGCCTGTATATACTCATCTCAAACTGCAATGAAATCACCATAAACCTTTGAAGCAATTGATTTAAGCTCTGTGTACTAGTGCTCCCTAGTGTGGCTTGAGAGAATGGCTAGTTCACCATGAGAAATAAATTCAGTATTGAATACACCTATTGGACTTTGGGTGTGCACCTTTTAGACACCTGCAAGGTCACATCTCTCTCACACTGGGAGACCAAAACTTCATTCCCTCTAAAGAGGTCATCCGCTGTGTATTTGCTGTGCAAGATGTTGTGTGCTTTCTTCCAGCCTTTTCAGTTGTAAGACTCGAGTGTGCCTCCAATTTTAATTCAGAACAACAATATTGCTCAACTACCAGAAGCCTAACAATCCTCATTCTCTCAGTGCTACAATGAACTGATTTTTGCTTCTGTCTTGTGCAGATCAATAAGAGTGTTACCAAAGTGGATCTCTTGTCCTTTGCTAATGATTTGGAAGCACGAGCAGACCAATTGGTGAGTTTTGATTTGATCGACATGAAACTGTGACCAGAACGCGTTTATTCTGAATGGACTCTTATGTATTCCACTTTCCGTTGTTGAGGCGCAGCTGTAAATGGAAGAATATATTTTTAAAGTAGATATCTGCTTAGCCAAGCTCACCTAAAGCATTCTGATGACTTACCTGGAAGACAGGATTAATAGAAGATGCTGTGTATGTCCTTAAAGTGGACCATATGAGCTAGCAAAGTAGGATGCCTGCGAAAGCAGAACTTGGGTGAATTTATCTGTACTTTATTTGGCATAAAAATAATTGCTGGCAGTGGGCATTAACCTGAGTCAGCTTTGCATGTTCCACCCGGCCAGTGTTGCTAAGATGAGGCATAACATCTTCCTGCTTGGCACTCACAGAGAGATCTCCCTTCGACAACTCATCCAGGAAAAAGGGGCAGGAAGCGTACATTTGCTTCCAATAAGTATTTGTCCATAATTAAATATCTCAGTGGAGGGCGCCATTACACCTTTTGGTCTACTGGAAAAATAATTGTCATTTATCTTAAAGGAAAATGTATTTATCCCAATAACTGAATAAAAATTAAAGTTTACCAGAACATATTTTTCAGTATTTGAACTTCGTTTTTTCAGTATTGCAAAGAGAAACAGCCGTGTGAGGAAAGTATCTAAATAACAACTCACAAGAATTGGTAGAAGGGCGTATATTTTCTTAGAACTTTAATGGCATTTTGCTGTTTCTAACACAGAATGAGAAATGACTCACTTCTTTGGGAAAGAAGACTTATTTATCTAGAATTGTAAGCTGTTTAGTAACTTGTTTGTTTGTCTTTGCAGCCTAAAGGAGCATTAGAAAATGCATTAAAAGGACATGCAAATAGTATCCGCGTGATACATAACCAACAAGTTGTTCCATTGGAGCAAGCAATGGTAAAAAAACAAAACTTTGCAGTTATTGGGCTAGGACATGATTGGGAAAGTGTATTCAACAAGCTACAAATCAGTTTGGGATATCAGTCAAGACTGCCTCCATTCATGCTATTTCTAGACTTTAACCAAGGATGCTTCTTGTACAAAGATTTTCTGGAGTAAAGTTTTAGTGTCCTTTTGTGTGTGTAAGCTAAACTATGGTTTTATGTTTAGTGCACTCCCCTCTTATTCCCTGGCACAGCTATGAGGAAGAAATCTGAAGCTTTCTCTCCCGTTTCTGCTTTTAAAACTAAGCAGAGTTTCTTTTAACATCCAGCATACAAGTTGTGTAAAGCTGAGTTGAGCCGGGGAGGGCCAGTTGTGACATTTCACATCTTTCTACACGTTAGGCTATAATTTGGCTTTTCTTGTGATTTTACTGCTGCTTCAGGAAGCTATATTTTGTTTTGAAATAATTTCCTTGCTGAAAAGTACTTGTTCTTGTATCTTGTCTTCTTGTTTCCTCCCTCCCCCCTCGCTCTTCTAATTAACTCTTAATCATTCTCAATATTTCTTTTTCCAAAAACTGACTGTCAAGAAATATGTTAGAGCTAGGGTAAGTGCTTTTCCTTTCTTACACTGCAAGTGGGGGCTTTAGACACATTTCAGATCAGGGACTCTACATTCAGCCTCAGTGTGATACTTTTATCAACCTGATGATGTTATACGGGACATGGCACTTCGCAGAGAAACCTAAGCAAAAAACCAGAAGAGTGGGGACAGGGAGAGTATAAGACAGTGGTACACTTGGTTGTAGACAGGTGCTGGTCCTTGCATATGGGTCCATAATAACATCTTGCAGCTGCTCTGTTAAATGCATATGGCATGTTACAAGCCAACATCATAGTACCAAGCTGTAAAGGTAAAGGGACCCCTGACCATTAGGTCCAGTCATGGCCGACTCTGCGGTTGTGGCGCTCATCTCGCTTTATTGGCCGAGGGAGCCGGCGTACAGCTTCCGGGTCATGTGGCCAGCATGACTAAGCCGCTTCTGGCGAACTAGAGCAGTGCACGGAAACACCGTTTACCTTCCTGCCGGAGTGGTACCTATTTATCTACTTGCACTTTGATGTGCTTTCGAACTGGTAGGTTGGCAGGAGCTGGGACCGAGCAACGGGAGCTCCCCTGTCACAGAGATTCAAACCGCCGACCTTCTGATCAGCAGCCCTAGGCTCTCTGGTTTAACCCACAGCGCCACCCACATCCCTGGGTGTAATTACATGTTCCAATAAATTACATGTTCCAATAAATAAAAGCTGAGTTGGGTATAATTAGATGTTCCAATAAATTAGGGCTGACTCCATAAACACCAGCCCAGTCCAAGTTTCTCCCAATATGTTTTGGGACTACAACTACAACTCCCATCATCCCTAGCTAACAGGACCAGTGGTCAGGGATGATGGGAATTGTAGTCTCAAAACATCTGGAGGGCCGAGTTTGCCTATGCCTGCATTCATGTCACTAGGTTATGTTTCGTCACCAGTGACAGCCCATGACATGGAGCAGGCACTGCGGAAACTCATAGGGTGTTGATATTGGGCAGCCCGTCTTTCTCATGACATGTAATTCTGACCTTGAATTTGGAAAGCCTGGATTTAAATTGGTGTGGCACCCGTGACACTGAGTGACCTCTCCCATAGAGATCTTGAATTGTGCATGTAATCTTAACCGTGGACACCTGTCCACACTGCAGAGTCATGGAATTATGAGAGAAGGGATGAGGAAGCTTGTGATGCTCATGTGCTGTTGGCTACAATCTCTGCCATTGGCTGTTGGTCTTTCTGGCTAGGGCGGGTGGAAATTGCAGTTCGATAATACACACAAGTCCAAAGATTAGCAGCTCCTGGCCTAGAGCTTTGTAGTCTATAAAATGGGAGGGAGGGTAGTTTCTTAATTTTTATGCACTCTCGTTTTCCATTGCCTGAACTTTGTAGCAATGAAAACAATTTGACACCGTAAAGTATTTCAAACTACATAAAACTACACCACAAGAATGGTTTCCATTCTACTTAAAATAGATGCGTATTTACAAGGCTTTATGTTCAGGAAATATGGCTTTACAGATCAAACTTTTTCTCTGGAATATGGTATAAGAGGTTTGTGTGATAGACTTCCTTTTCTTTTGTGTCTTTAACCAGAGCACTTTAAACCAGAGCATAAGGTTCCTGCAGAAAACATCATCAGAGCTTCCTGTAAGTTTTTGTTAATTTGTTTCTTCTGAAATAAAACCCCCATTAGGGTTGTTTCTTTAAAACATTAACTACCTATTTTGCAACATATTTGCTAGGCAGTATTTTGTGTTCATTTTACTCTAGTGAAGAGATGGAATGCTGTACATTAAATTCACCTGATAACCAAGTTCAAACATTATCAGTTCCATTCAAACAATGCTGAGTACAGTGTTAATTTGGGTTACAGATGCTTCAGGTTACAGACTCCGCTAACCCAGAAATAGTACCTCAGGTTAAGAACTTTGCTTCAGGATGAGAACAGAAATCGTGCTCCGGCAGCGCAGAGGCAGCAGGAGGCCCCATTAGCTAAAGTGGTACCTCAGGTTAAGAACAGTTTCAGGTTAAGAACGGACCTCCAGAACGAATTAAGTTCTTAACCCGAGGTACCACTGTACTTGAAAGTCCACCAGACAAAATAATCTCCGCATAGGAAACTAACTACATGTTAGGGGAAAGTGTTACAATTTAGTGATCTCTCTGATATGCTAGCTTGTTACACAAAGGGAATTCATTAATACTAAGAAGTTTTCAGACTACAGATTTACCACCTTAGTGAAAATTAGGCCTCCAGCAGTGACTGGATGATCCTCCAGATTATAGTTTAGAGCAGGGGTCAGCAAACTTTTTCAGCAGGGGGCCGATCCACTGTCCCTCAGACCTTTTGGGGGGGGCAGACTATATTTTGAAAGAAAGAAAAATGAACGAATTCCTATGCCCCACAAATAACCCAGAGACTCATTTTAAATAAAAGGACACATTCTACTCATGTAAAAACACGCTGGTTCCCGGACCATCCATGGGCCGGATTTAGAAGGTGATTGGGTCGGATCCGGCCCCCGGCCCTTAGTTTGCCTACCCATGGTTTAGAGGACTGGAAATCATCCCTGTGCTTGAGTGCTCCCACCTCCCCTTATGTGTGCAGTTTATGGAATTGCTTCCTTATCTGATGTTGTGGTGGAATGTAGCAAACCATGGTTTGCTCAAACCAGGAAGCAATTAATTAAGCTGCACAAAGGGAGGGACAGGAAGGGACCATGTGAGCATAGGGCCCGTTCCCGACCCTCCAACTGTGGTTTGTCTGCATGCAGCCTTCAAATTTTTAAGTGTACACTTAAATATCTTCCAAAACACCTAAAAATGTATAGCATGAAGCTTTTACAACTGGCTTGATAAGGAACAATCATAGCAGTGTGGCAGCCACACACAAAGCTTTCATAACTTTTTAGGTGTGATATTATAATGTCATAAGTGTAGCCATTTGCCTGTCTCTCAGGACCATAAGTGATATGGGGGAATCTATAGTCTTTGGTTAAAAGCAGCTGTGGAATAATTTGAATCAGGGCTGCAACCCTTTCTCTAGCATTGTTTTCCTGATTTAAGTTGCCCCTTTCCACAAGCTGCTATTAGCTGTGGAGATGGAAAAGACTTCTGCACTGTCCCTTCTTTTGACTTGCAGCTCCTGGTCGGGAGGTGTTTAAGTCAGGGAAACAGTGCTGGGGAAAGCTTACAATTCCTCGCCTGCCCCAGTCCAAATTCTCCTGTCCCTCACAGCTGCTTTCACCCAAAGAAAAACATTCTGGGAGACTGAGTTGCAGACCTCCCACATCACATGTAGTCTTGACCTACATTAAGGTCTGAATAACTGACTGACGTGGCATTATTTATATCATTCCATTTATGAATGACTTCGTATAAAATACTTTGAGGCTATTTAAAACATCAGTAAAAATAATGAACTATATAAAATCAATGATAATATAAGGCTGATAGAATTGGTTTCTGTTTTGTTAGCTGCGGCTAAGATAGTTTAGTTGGAGGTGGAAGGACTTGAATGTTCTTGTAGTATGGGAATGGTCAGTGAAATGTATTCAATCGGCCATTATGAATCAACTGAGTGATCAGGAAGGAAGGAAGGAAGGAAGGAAGGAAGGAGTGGCAGATGTGATCTGCTAGAGAGATGGAACTTTTTTACCAACTATTGGAATCTCAACTATGGTAATGTGAGACTAGAAGCGTATTTATTCATATAGTATATAAAAATTCTACATATTTTATACTTAGTTTTAAGCTATCAGGGGATGCCATAAATTTAGAGATTTTGTATCTATCTGGAAATGATCCTTATTTTATCTGGTCAAACTGTTCTTTTATTTTGGAAAGATTCTATGTTTGAATCACTGCTTCTCTCTCTCTCTCTCTCTCTCTCTCTCTCTCACACACACACACACACACACTCACACACACACACACACACACACACACACACACATATACAGTGGTACCTCGCAAGACGAATGCCTCGCAAGACAAAAAACTCGCTAGACGAAAGGTTTTTCCGTTTTCGAGTTGCCTCGCAAGACGAATTTCCCTATGGGCTTGCTTCGCAAGACGAAAACGTCTCGCGACTTTGTTTCCTTTATCTAAATAATAATTCGCAAGACGAAAAATTCGCTAGACGACAAAACTTGCGGAATGAATTAATTTCGTCTTGCGGGGCACCACTGTATATATGAGAGAGAATATTGTACATTCTGTGTTCTGTATTGTAATCTATATCATTCTTTTTTTGAAATCATTCTATCATTCATACACACACACACACACACACACACAGACAGTGGTACCTCTACTTACGAACGCAATCCGTTTCAGGGTGCCGTTTGCACCCCGAAAAGTCCGTAAGTAGAGTGTCACTACTGTGCATGCGCGAAGCACGATAGAGCGCTTCTGCGCATGTGCGAAGTGCACAGATTGGTTCTGCGCACAGCGATCCCAGAAGTAAACACTTCCGGGTCTGCCGCGTTCGTAACCTGAAAAGCCGCAATGTGAAGCAAACGTAACACAAGGTATGACTGTACTTGATGACACAGTGAATCTTAGTTTTGGATTTGAAACTCTTACATATGAATGACAAGAGTCTCAAACCCAAAGCCAAGATTCACTGTATCATCAAGTAATGAACATGCATGTATGAACCAGCCAGGTGTCTGGTTGTTTGCTTTTTACCCCCTTTGTGTAATTCTGACTGTGTGTTGGAGAAATAACTGTATAATGATTAGTGGTTTGGGTGGTTCAACAGCATACTTTTTCTTTCACCACCCCATAATCTTCTTTTTCCTCCTCTTCCAGGGGAAAGTCAGAAGTGTAATCACTGCTGTTAATAGTGCACAACTTCTTATAAACAACAATGCTTCCTTTGTTATTGTTCAGGTATGTTTTAATGTTTTATTTTAAAAAAAACAAAAAACCCACACACAGTGCATTGTATTTGGAATTCTTATGTGTGTAACTTAACGTTTCCATTTCTTTTTTCCCTCCCAAAAGGAAACTAAAAAGTATATGGATACTATAATCGGTTACTTTGAGCAGTACGCTGAATGGGTGAAGGAATCGGTAAGATATCTCCCCCACCACCTCTTGGGCAAAGGCCATGTAGAGAACTTCCATTTTTGAAAAAAAAGGGAAATTAAACATATTGGTGTATCAACACTGCTACTAGAAACAACATAGTAAATTAGAACATAACATTAATTATCCTACCAAATATGATTAATTCAGATTGGGTATCAGAATCATATGTCTATCTTTGCAGCTTAGTATAAAATGTTTCTTCTTGGGAATGTTCTGTATCTAATGTTCAGCACTTGAATTCTTTTTCTGATCTCTTGTAGATTGCTATGGAAGTGGCACCTTGTAAGCCCATTGCCAATGTGGTCGATACTGCTATAGATATATTTCTATGCAGCTATATAACAGATTCTGTGGTAAGAATATTTTGCATTCTTCCAAAAAAAAAATAATTGTGAAGGAGGGAGGGTTAAATCTTTTTATTTCTCTGCTGAGACAACTTATTCTAAGACTAGAGAACCGGTACATTTGCATAAAGGTAGACTTGGGTAATAAGAAAGGTACATGTGTATTACACAGTAACTCCCAAAGAGTTGCAGTTCACATGTCTTTCGGGAATTTGGAAATCACATGACTGGAAAGTAATCTTGAGAAACAGCTTGTTGCGTGTCGAGGTCCCCAAGCCACCCCCAATAAATCACAATTCACACAGAATTTTTGTTTAAGGTTTTTGGCATAATTTTGGCCACAACTTTATTAAAATACAAAAAATGCGAGTGGTTGCTTAGGCATTGGTTGCGACTATCTGACCCCGCACGGGGACAGACTGACATTCGCACATTCGTGAAAGTCAGAAAGGGAAAGCATTTTGGGGAGAGAGATGGAGCTGGGTACCATGCCCTCACCTCTCCCCAAATGCTCCCAGGGGCTCTTGCGTGGCCCTAGCCCCTCGACAGGGGTTCGGACAAAAACATGGCGAGCCCCTGGATTCCTTTAATGGAATACCCTTGCAGCAGCAGCAGCATTGGAGGGGCAGGCACAGCCAATCCATGCCCCTCCACCAACCAATTCATAAAACCAATGCCTAACTGCAACCTTACAAGTTGTGATGATTTGCTACACAGTAGGCAAAAACCAAATGGCACCAGCCAATCAGCCAAATGGACAAAATTCCTACCGGGCCCCTGCCCCAAAAGCAGACGACCCCATGACAGGCATAGCAAGGTCAATGCGAACAACCCTAAATATAGGGAGGGTGGGTGATCCGGTGCGTGCAGCGAATTTAAGAGTTCTTGGCTGTCAATCACAAAATGGCAACATTAACTTCTCCCCAATACTAGCTACCTTCACCTGCCCAGCAACAGTGGGGAAGTCTTGATAGACCCCACCGCAACACGTGCTCTCCATGGAGGAGAACACGCTTTGTCGATACAAGATTTGAAATTGCCGCTGAAAAGCTAAGCCAATTGACATAATGTGAAATGGAGTGTTCGGCCATTTTTTGGCATCAGATAACTGTGGTTAACGCTCTCCTGACCCTATTCTCAAAAAACTATTAAGTTGAAACCTCAGTTTTTAGAGGAATTATGCACACAAACGGACCTGATGAATCGGACCAAAGTATTTTGCTTCCAGTGGTGGCCAGACAGATGATTCTTAGAAGCTTGCAAGGAGAGCACAAAAGCACAAACCGCTTCTGTTTACCCCCCCCCCCAGCATGTGATATTCAGAGGCACACTTAGCTATCACTTAGCCATTATGGCTATTAGCATTTATAGGCACCACCCTGGAAGAAAGATTCAACAGTTTTTCCAACTTTTCCAATACAAGTGGTCTTTTCAGTGGTTCTGTCCGTTCTGAAAATCCACCTGACACGCCCTTTTCTGGCCATCTAAATTATCTAAGTGCACAGGCCACTTGCTTAGATGTTCTCCTAGTCACATGGAATCTGTTCCACAGATATGCTTCTTCCATGTGGATGGGAAGGCATAAGGCAATGTGCATTTTATGAAATAGCACTTCCATCTTTCTCAACTATCTGCTGATTAATTCCATTGAGTGGCCTGGAATTTTAGTGCAATGGGAGATAGCATGCATAATTTTATAGGAGCCTCGATAATCCCGAGGAAAGACAGGATATAAATATCATAACTAACTAAATCAATAAATAAAAAGCCTTTACAATTTCATCTTCTTTCATCTCTTTCTCTTTTTATAAAAGCTAAAAAGTCCAAAAAGTTTGAGCTTTAACTTGGGTTTTCCATTTGCCCAGTCTGGAGACATACGTTTGGAGCTAATCATTTTATCAAGCAGCTAATAATGAAATTTACAGTATTTAAATGCAATGGGAAAACTTTCTTCTACTGACTTACAGAAAGACATTTTGGATGCATTCCTGAACAGTGACAGCGTTCACTGATTCCTTTTGTCCTGAAATGGCAACATCTGCATTTTCTAGTTGCCTTGAGAAATGCAGAAGTTGTATACAGTATTTGTGTGCGGGGGGAAATTGGCAAAAGACACAGAAAGGAATAAGCTAAATGTTCCTCAGAAATTTCCTGCAATTACTGCTACTAATTGAGGGCACCTAAAGGACCATGAGTTGTTTTCTTTGCTGCTTAATTTAGGATAGGCCTGGATTTTTCACGCATAACTGGGCAAACAAGTTCAGACTGTCTCCAGGTCTGTTGAAAGCAAAGTGGAAAACCACCTTTTTAACAGCTGGAACTCATTGGGCTGGTCTGTGTAATCATTAAATTATTATTTCTTGTATAAACAATATTTCCTGACCCAGAAAATTGCACTAAGATACCAAGGAATTTACTCCACTGAAAGCAGGGATAAAGCTACATCTGTTGTTCTTTACAGAAGGAGGAAAGCCTGGCTAGGATATTAATCTTCTGAGGCCTACGCATACATTGCGGTTTGTTGTAGGCTGGTTGGAATAAAGCAATGTGCTTGTGTGATTTATTTATTTTTTTAAGTTGTTGTAAGGGTTTCACATGCATTCCGTGTTCATCCCAGGGTAGCGCTAGACTGATGGCACACTTTGGTTGAGTTTTGCTTGGCTTACAAGTATATTTTGGTTTGGCTGCTTACGTTATGGAGGGTGAGGTGTTTCCCTGGTTTATTTACTTTCTGTAAAAACTGAGCATTTGCCAGCACAGGTCTTGCAGTAGCATCCTGGTGCCTACCACTCAAACACAACACAGCAGGCAGGGCCTCAGACATTTGGACGCCTGAGGCAGAAGGTCCCGTCTCCAACCACACAATGTGTGTGCCAGGGGAATCTCCGCCAGAGCTTCCCTTGAAGGAAAAGCCCTTGGAAAGACTCACCACCGCCAGGCAAGCAAAGGGCAAGCTTCACAAGGGCTTCTGGAAATGCCGCCTCTTGCGTTTCTGCCGCCTGAGGTGGCTGCTTCAGTCTGCCCAACTCGTGGTCTGGCTCTGCAGTGCAGGAGCCCTTCTGCATATACTGTTGGGCTATAGAGCTTGAAAACTGCCCTCCAGCTCAGCGCAGCACAACTTGCCATGAAGGTCAGGCCCGCTTTCCAGAGGAAAATAACCAGAGGCCTGTTAAACACTGAGCAGGCTCACAGTACATGGCTAATGGCTCACATTTAGCTTAAAGGTAAAGGGACCCCTAGGGACGCGAGTGGCGCTGTGGGTTAAACCACAGAGCCTAGGACTTGCCGATCAGAAGGTCGGTGGTTCGAATCCCCGTGACGGGGTGAGCTCCTGTTGCTCGGTCCTTGCTCCTGCCAACCTAGCAGTTCGGAAGCACGTCAAAGTGCAAGTAGATAAATAGGTACCGCTCCGGCGGGAAGGTAAACGGTGTTTCTGTGTGCTGCTCTGGTTCACCAGAAGTGGCTTAGTCATGCTGGCCACATGACCCGGAAGTTCAGCAGGCCTGTAAGACAGAGCTGTTCCACCAGGCCTTTGGTCAGGGCGCAGCCTGACTCCCTCCTTTGGCAATCTCTACAAAGCTTTAGTCTATGGTTGCCATCAATTTGTATTTTAATTAATTTTAGAATGTATTTATAATGTTGTACTGTTTAGTGTTGTTAGCCGCCCTGAGCCCGGCTTCGGCTGGGGAGGGCGGGATATAAATAAAATTTATTATTATTATTATTATTATTATTATTATTATTATCTATATTATATATTTTGAAAAGTTGTCTGTTCACTATACACTTGGACACCTCTTAAGAGGAACAAAACGTTGCAGACTTTCATCCATCTTTTGATACAAATGCATTTTGAATCAAGACAGCAGACTGAACCTTTCAAAACTAACACTGATTTTAACCATCCATTTCAAAAGTACATTGATCTTTTTTTAGAATTCCCAAGCAATGCCAGGTACGAAACTGCTAGTTGTTCATTGCAATAACATCAGTGTCCTAAATCTGTTTGGGGGTTGTTTTTTTCAGTCCCTGTGGTTTTAATTGTAGAAGAGCTCTTCGGGGACACCTCCAGGGACAGATTTATTAAGCATTCTTCCTGATTTGCTTGCACAAACCTTACACAGAGGTAAAATTATAACCTTCCTGCAAACAAATCAGAACGAACTCTCGATTAATACTTGATAGAAAAAGATCAGCAGTCATCCTGATGTGAGGTATTTGTACATCTTCCTGTTAAACATTCATTCCACACTTTTCAATGCACTCCCCCATCACTCTCCTACCCACAAAAAGTCAATTTCTTTTTTTAAAGGGAACTTACTGCACTAGGATAAGGACCACCAACTTTTGGCGGCCAATGGGGCACCTTTTGAATTTTGAGCATGTGCCATGGGTCACACAGTGGCTGCCAAGGGGTTGTATCAAATGACTGCCATATGTAAAAGACCAGAAAAAGAGACAGGAACACAAAATGCGTAACAATGCCCCCCCACCAGCTGCCCCATCAATAGGGGGAAAGACTAAAGACTCACTCTTTGTACCACTCCCTTTTCTGCTCAGAACAAATGCAGGGTGGGTCTCCCGGTCCTGGCATCCCATGAAATATGAACATGTTTTCGGGAGATGTTTAATGCAGGATGGGTTAAATTAGTCCAAACAGGTTCTGAGCAGGATGAACAAACAGCCTATTATTAACTATTATGGGGTTTTGAGGGGATATCTACCTTTCATAAGGTAAAGGTAAAGGACCCCTGACACTTAAGTCCAGTCCAAATGACTCTGGGGTTGTGGCGCTCATCTCGCTTACTCGCCAAGGGAGCTGACATTTGTCCATAGACAGTTTTTCCGGTCATGTGGCCAGCATGACTAAGCCCTTCTGGCGAACCAGAGCAGTGCAGGAAACCCGTTTACCTTCCCGCCAGAGCGGTACCTATTTATCTACTTGCACTCTGAAGTGCTTTCGAACTGCTAAGTTGGCAGGGAAGAGGAGCCGAGCAACGGAGCTCACCCCGTCGCGGGGATTCAAACCGCCAACCTTCTGATCAGCAATCCCAAGGCTCAGTGGTTTAGACCACGCGCCACCCGTGTCCCTTTCGTAGGCAACGTAAAAGGTGGTGGCGGTACATCAGGACCCATGTGGTGCCACATGCAAACCTTGTCTTAGGTGACAGAGTGTTTTAATTGCATGACTGCAATTCCCGATATGTCACTTTGGCAAAATGCTGACTGACTGGA